CAAGTCAATATCCAAGTGACAAAATTTACTAGAAGCTTAAACTAGCACTCATATTTCATTTTCTTAAGAAAACAATGTAGTGCCATTTTCTAAATTAGTTTTCATACTTGAAAACATCTCATGTAAGCAGGTCTGATATGTCTGACTGAGTTTGGTTGTTTCTGTAAAATGTTTAGCGTAGTTGAACTTTACACATACATATTGATTCTTAAAAGAGTAAGAGGGGTAACTCTCCAGCACATAATGCATACTCACTGAAGAATTACCTCCCATGTTCACACGCACAATAAAACACATGCCGATTTAGAACAAGTAATTTCATTGAATCAGAGCAGGAAAGACCTCTTCACCAATCAGAACTGTCCTAAAGTTTCTTTGTATCAATTTTCGAATACTTTAACCATACGCATATTAGTATGCTATTGTTGATTGTTCATTAAATAAACGGCTTTTTACCATACTGGTAACTACTAGTAATTGCTAATTAGCAGAGATCAGACATCAGTCGAACCAAAATGTGTGCGTATAGTCAGTTTATCTGACCAATAATCAAGCGTGCGGTGAGAAATAACATACATGCTGACACATAAAACGTTATTTTTTTTCTAGCATTAAGTTTTGCTACAATATTTTAATAGCAAACACATTGGTGCTTTCACTAGGCAAATATATGTTTCAATACATCTTTATTATCTTTTAATATGTATGACAGGTTGCCGGTGGCGTTAAATGTAAGAAATACCTCAATAACTTTTTCCTTACTATGAAATATATTCTTTAATTTGGTCGAGCATTCTCCGCATACACTTTAACATTCGAACAAAAAGCACATCATACAACAATTATTTGAAACAAAACGTTTCTAACGAGTAGTACACACGTTATTTGTCACGATCCAGCCGCCATTATTCCGTATCGTACCATACCCCCTCGCATAAAAGTGCATCGTACGTCTATACGTACGTTCGACCCCCTGTTCAGGGTCACTATCGTTCACACCATTTTCGACTTATTTTTCAGGTTTTAATGAGATAATAAAAAAAAACTTTTGTCAACTTCCGGCGAAACTCTTTTGCCGATCGATTGGAAGCAATCAATGTAACAATAGAGAGAAACGTTTTGTATCGATAATGGACAAGCTCGTTCAGCCTTGTTTATATATACTATCGCATACGAGTGTTTTTTTATACAACTATTTATTGGAGGTAACACCATTCATTATGTAAGTCAGAAAGTAAACATTTTTTTTTAATTGTGGATTGTGTATGTTTTACAGATAATGCTTTCCATTAAAATTGGCAACGAACATGTCTAAATTTATAGCTAAGACAACTTCTCTCTTCCCCTCGGTACGTGTACGTGGTTGAGAAGACACAGGGCATCGACAGAAGATTTGAAGACTGGGGACAGCGAAAAAGATTCGAACTTGCTAGGGTGTCTTGGCCCCTTAGCATGGTTAGACGGCTTGAACGCCAGGCCTTTTCCTGGCACCAACAGTCCTTTTAAGTGCTACCCTTTCATATTGTCACAGGTTACTATACATATAGATTCTCATTGACCGCCGTACAGTGACCTACTTTTGGTGCAAAATCATATGTTTGGCTAATACTCCGAGGAAATTGCATGGAGGTAAATTATCACCACTTTGTGCTTCAAAATTACCTCTTAAAGGACATGACTGGTGACATGTGGCAGCTGGAATTGAACTCGCAAACATATAATATTACCACTGAACCAGGCAGCTATTTTCAATTTCTCTTGATGATTCGCAACTCATCACGAGTGATGTTAAGATTTGTCGATATTCTAAATATGAATGATACAACAAAACTGGATAAGCATATTTTAAAGATTTTCCTTTTAGCTGTCTTTTCCAAAGAAGAAGTCGAGCTTGTATGATCATTGCGTCGTTAACTGTCGTCGTCGTCGTGAAAAATTTACTTGTAGCCCGTTATTCAAAGAATTTAAAAATTATCAACACGAAGCTTGGAATACTTACTTATCGTTGTTAGAATATGGACATAATCCTGACAGCATTATATTTTGTCCCGTTTTAGCTCACCTGAGCATATGCTCAGGGTGAGCTATTAGGATCACTCTTCGTCCGTCGTCTGTCGTCCGTCGTACGTCGTCCATTGTCCGTTCACACTTTTCAAACGACATCTCCTCTGAAACCATAAGGCAGATCATAATGAAACTTCACAGGGATGTTCCTTGTGTGAAGCCTTAACAAAGTTGTTCAAAGAATTCCATTCCATGCAGAACTCTGGTTGCCATGGCAACCGAAAGAAAAAACTTTAAATATCTTCTTTAAAAACACTCAAAAAGCTAGAGCTTAGATATTTGGCATGAAACATCTTCTAGTGAATTTCTACCAAGTTTGTTCAAATAAAAGCCCTGGGGTCAAAATTGGCCCTGCCCCAGGGGGTCATTGATTTTTTCTATATGCATATAGTAAAAAACTTAAAAAGTCTTCTTTTAAAGAACCCAAAGAGCTAGAGCTAAGATATTTAGCATGAAACATCTTCTAATAGGTGTCTACCAAGTTTGTTCAAATAAAAGCCCTGGGGTCAAAATTGGCCCCGCTCCAGGGGGTCATTGATTTTCCTTATATGTGTATAGCAAAAACTTAAAAAATCTTCTTTGAAAAAAAAAAACAAATAGCTAGAGTTAAGATACTAAGCATGGAACATCTTTTAGTGAGTGTCTACCAAGTTTGTTCAAATAAAAGCCATGGGGTTAAAATTGGCCCCGCCCCAGGGGGTCATTGATTTTCCCTATATGCATATAGTAAAAACTTTAAAAAATCTTCTTTTAAAGAACCCAAAGATCTAGAGCTAAGATATTTGGCATGAAACATCTTCTAATAAGTGTCTACCAAGTTTGTTCAAATAAAAGCCCTGGGGTCAAAATTGCCCCTGCCCCAGGGGGTCATTGATTTTCCCTATATGCATATAGTAAAAACTTAAAAAGTCTTCTTTTAAAGAACCCAAAGAGCTAGAGCTAAGATATTTAGCATGAAACATCTTCTAATAGGTGTCTACCAAGTTTGTTCAAATAAAAGCCCTGGGGTCAAAATTGGCCCCGCTCCAGGGGGTCATTGATTTTCCTTATATGTGTATAGCAAAAACTTAAAAAATCTTCTTTGAAAAAAAACAACAAATAGCTAGAGTTTAGATACTAAGCATGAAACATCTTCTAGTGAGTGTCTACCAAGTTTGTTCAAATAAAAGCCCTGGGGTCAAAATAGGCCCCGCCCCGGGGGTCATTCCTTCTCCTTGTATGTGTATAGCAAAAACTTAGAAGTCTTCTTTGAAAAAACCCGAATAGCTAGAGTTTAGATATTAAGCATGAAACATTTTCTAGTAAGTGTCTACAAAGATTGTTCAAATAAAAGCCCTTGGGTCAAAACTGGCCCTGCCCCAGGTGTGTCATTATTTTTAACTATAATTATTATTATGTGTAAAGAAAAAAAACTTGACCAGCTAGACCTTAGATGTTAAGCATGAAATATCTTCTAATGGGTGTCTACCAAGTTTGTTCAAATAAACGCCCTGGGGTTTGAACTGGCCCCGCTCCGGGGGCCTATATACAGGTGAGCGACTTCAGGGCCATCATAGCCCTCTTGTTTTAACTAAGAATGTTTTAACAGACGAGCGTTAACACGGCATGTGGTGCTCTTGTTCAAAGTTATTTCAAAGGCATACAAATGTATGTTTACAATAATTGTTTAACAAACAACTGAAAGTCGTGACTTTGTATAGGCATAGAATTGCTCATGTTCGGGTCAAATGACCAGCGTTTATTTAACTCCCTACTCATATTGACAAATGTGCATGTTTAACTTGGTATAATACTGAATTTAAAACAGAATTTAAAAATGATCAATTAAGCAAACAATTATTTGCCTATTTCAAAATAACACGGTTGTTCGTAATAGAAAATTAATATAAACTCCGGACATACGATGGCCATTTTAGTCGGCCTGTTTACGTACATTACTTCTTTTTCTGTCTTTGCAAAAGTATGAATATCTTTTGCCACCCGTGGAGGATTTAATATTTATACAAATAGTGAAGTTTAAATGATTAAAGAAACAAGTAAGTATACGAAGCTTTATATAAACTTTGACATTCTTTTATCTACATGTATGAAATAGTTATTTCTTTCAAGATCGTAATATATTTGTCTCTGTAACTATATAAAAACAAAGAAATACTGACAGAACATATCTTGATCGATATTTATTTACACTTTATTTTGATGTCTTCAAATTTAAGAGAACATAATATTAATATTCAATATTTCAGCAAACTGACAAATTCGCCCTTTACTGTCTGAGTCACTGACATTAAGATAATCCAAACCAAACGTTCTTTTTTCCTTTTTACCTTTAAAACTTGCTTGAACCGGAAATGATTAACCTTGTCACAAGTACAGAGCATGACCTTGTTTTGGTATTTTGATATCGCCATCCTTTAAAATTGAATGGACTGTTCTAATTCGAAGTTGGGTTAATCCATTTTACAAATTTAGCTGATTACGAGTCGATGTTTAAAATAAACATGCATAACCTTATATAATTTGTTAGTATACTAAGTAAACATGATTTACAGGATTATTTCGACAGTGTAAAATAAATAAAAGATGCGATATATACAGCTTCTTCGCTAGGCGAATCGACGTTTATAATAAACATGCATAGCGTTTTATAATTTGCTTGCATACTGGTACAAATGTAATTAACAACTGTATTTCGACAGTGTAAAATAAATACAAGATGTGTTATATACAGTTTTTTAAGTAATAGGAATACGCCAACATTAGGCTTGTAAATCATCAATAATGTCTTAGCTGCAAATACCAATCTATTTGTTAGTGCAATTACTATTTAATTCGTAGTTACGAGATTCAAAGTCGTATGTACGACATTAGATATCTCGTAAGACTTAATGAAATCAATCTATTCGGGAAAGGAATACGAGTCATTTCTTAAAAACGACATTATTTCTTTTACATCTTTAGGTCAATAACATAAGACTCGACCATGACGTCATTTCTTACCGCGTTAAATGGATTTTATTCGAATGTAAACAGCAATGACACCGTGTAAGTATTTTTTCTTTTATAAGTATGAATATTGTAAAATGGTATACGGTAAAGAAGTTATCCCATTACAGCTAAAACTAACTTTAAAGGCACATTATGCCTCAGGAAATAGATAGTTTTATACTTTGACTTCCATACAAAGTACTATATCACTATCACTGTACTAATGTCAAGAAAACAACAGAAGAAAAAAGAATGTCCAGGTAATTGGCCAATGAGTAACTATTTGGAAATTATCAAAAGTAAATCTACACCAAAAATAAAAAAAAATAAAATGTTTCTTAGAAATAAAATTTAAAGCATCTCTGGGGACATAATGGGACTTCAAGATAAAATTAACTTTATATTGAAAACATCCATTGAGGCGCAGTTTATTTGACTCCTGCTAAGAATACGAGCAGTTTTCTATTCTATAACATTTCAGTATAACACAAATGCCAAAGTTGTGTTAAGGCACAAATCTCGCCTAATAATGTGATTGTCATCTATAAAAGATAAAGCCATGTGTCATTTAATAAAATTTATATCCACTGCTGTGTGAAAAAGATTTCTATTAACTGATAGAAATGAACTTCAGGTACTGTTGATTTTTGAACTAATAAATAATAAAAATGCATGTATATATTATTGATATGCATAAAATACAACTTTTCTAACTACACTTCAGGGCGGATTGTGTTTCCAAAATCCCAACGTCAGATTTCCATTTCTACCTTCTAATACCATCAGTAAGTGTTAAATTCAATAAAAATGTCATTTTCTTAATATTATTATCTGCCCCTGGTATACAAGGGTAAGCTTTATTTGGTATTATAATTTGATTATAACTGTCACAAAACCCCGCCTGTGTGGTTGTTTCACGTAGTATGCATATAGTCAAATAAAAGACAATAGTATGTGTTTATAGAAATAACTTTAATTTACATGAAAGTTTTTCCAAATTTTTATCATGCACCCATGAATTTATTACGTCATGTTAATGATATAAGAATACAAGCCAATTGAGGAAGCTAGGCTATCCATGCATACATTAAACCTAAATGCTTTCAGATGAGCCGAAATATTTCATGAAAACCAACCTTGAGAAAATGTACTAAGATTTTTATTAAAAGCAAAAATATTCACAATTTCATAAAAAATTTACATTTAATATGCAGTTAATGACTGATTATGCAGTATTTTTTATCATATGTCTACTACGTGACTAATGCAGAAAGAGCTACTGAGTATCTCTGCATAATCTTCTTTTTATGGAAATGTTTGTAGAATTTCAGTGCCGTTTGCAATAATTATACTTTTTTCTAAGTTTACTTGGCAATATTTTGCTATTTAAAACATTTTAATATTTTTATCCATGAATCTAGAGACATGGTGCTTTAAAATTGGCATGATGAAGAAACTATGACTGTCTTATTATCACTTGTTTGTTTTTCCAGATTTTGTTAACTCTGTTGTTGTCATTCACTCTAAGGAGGAAGAGTAGAGGATTGCTATGTTGTTGGGGTCGTCCTGGAGCTGTGTTGTAAGTACCTAAAGACACTATCTAAACCACTTATTTGTAAGAGAGAGTTTTAATTGCCCGTGGTCAAGTAGAAATCAGCCTGAAAAAATGCGAAACGTTTAACCGACAGGACCTTCGCATGATATATTTAAAATATGTCGAATTCCAGTTCTGTTTGTTTTACTATGTATGTAATTTGTATGTTTTACTTTGTTTTTTGTTGTTGTTTGTTTTTCTTTCCTAAAGGATTACCTGCTATGTAACTTGCACAACAGAAAATTGTTGACTTGAAGAACTTGTGCAAGAAAAAAATAAGTGCTTAACATTTTAACGTTTTAGGTGGTACGACAAATATCTACATAATTATACATGCACAACGTTGACTGATTGCAACGTAAGTTGCAAATGTACAACTGTCATACAGTAAAAATGCAGAATTGCCGATGGTCATAAACAAAATAATACATATGACAAACTGTCGGAGCATTCATTAACATGTACAAAAAAATTAATATATATTTTTGCAGTCCTATGGATATATTGGGTAAATCGCACAGATTTTCATACGCAGCCGCTTGGGGTTCAATAGCGTTCCTCGCTACAGATATGGTGTTTGGATCTACAGCTATTGTAAACCTACAGGGACCTTCATACATAACAGGTGAGCGTTTTCTGTATGATTAGGTGGAAAAATGAATACCTTCACTTAAAGCGTTTCTTTGTTAAAAAAGCGGCTTTTCCAAACGTAAAATGTAGATTGAAAGTGCCAGTCGTCCTTAACTTTAAACTACATGATAGCTCCCCCCCCAACGCCCCACCTCCCCCCACCCCCCCCCCCCAAAAAAAAAATCAAGGAAATCAACCTTGAGAAGAATGTACTAAGATTATCAGAAAAGTAAAATATTAACAATTCAAGAAATAATTTACATGTTATATGCAATTAATGACTGCATTTGCAGTCTATCTCCGTATTGGTACTGCAAGACTAACGCAGGAAGCGCTATTGTGCATATTCTGACCTATTTTTGGTAATTTTCGTAGATTTTCAGTGTCGTTTCCAATGTGCACGTGTTTATTACTTTCTTTGTTCAATTGACAACGTTTTACTTTTTAATACACTTAAAAAATGTTTCATGAAAGTGAGCGTTAATCTAAAGGCATGCTGCTTTAATTAGTTTTTATTGATAGAACATACTTTGTCATAAAACAGGTTTAACATTGAATGATCTCATATCTCTCAAAACACCTTTTTTACTAATGCTTCAAAGTATTTATTTGTAGCAATCCTAGTTATTGCTACAAATAAATAATTTGAAGCATTTGTTAAAAAAGGTGTTTTACCCATAATGTGATTGGTTAAGTATGATGGCTGATTTGTGCTATTAGTGTTTTCGCCCCGCGACCCCGCCAAGCGATTAGTCGAGTATTAACAAGTAAAATTTGCGGGACCGCGGGGCGAAAACACGAATTGCACGAATCAGCAACCATAGTTTAGGAGCGAGCTACATTACTTTTAAATATTCTTGAAATTACAGTTTTTAACAAAATACTTTCCATGATCATCATTGGGATTGATTACTTCCCTTTGTTTGCTGCGCTTGGACTTGAGTCAGTATCTGGACATGTTATAGGCACTTCCTACTCCTGGATGCTTCTTAGTATTCAGATTTTCAGAGAGGTCGAATGTGACCTAGTTGTGGTAAGTTGCGCCGTCAAAATATATTCTAGCTAATGACGAACTTTACATCATGTTTTTTACTCTATGAACACAAATACGGAAGCGTTAAAGTGCCTCCAATTATTAACTGAGGTCATGATCTGTAAGTCGTCTGATTTTAATTCGGTTTACTTAGACGTTTTAACACAAATCTATTAATTTTATTCACCAAAGATTAGAAAAAAAAAACCGTTTATTACGCCGATGCTTTTCTCGACATGCTTAAAGTATTTGACTTGGCGGAAAGTTAGGGCAAAATTTAGTCTAGAGAAAAAACTTCTAGCATTTGAGAAAAGTGACTAAGAATGGCAAAAATCGTCTAGTTTTTATGAATACAATGAATTGAATTCTGTTACAACATTTAATCAAATCGAATAAAAATTAGGCGTCCGACACCCCATGTTCCCTTTAACGTTTCTGTAAACAGATTCTTAAGGCGTAGAACATCGTAAGTAAATATTTTTCAACTTAGTGTTTATTACTAGTTGATAACCGTTGACAGGTTATATGAACATGTAAGGGCTGTTTGCATAAATAACAGGTAAACCCAAGTCGCAAGGTTAAACGTTTGGATGTCCAGTTTAAACTTTAATTCTTTATTCGGTCATTTACTTTATGTTCACAAAGGTTCAAAATGTGTGTTAAAATATACACATGTCCTAACTTAAATCATATTAACAAACACTTACCTTACATAAATCTTGTGTTTGCTCATGAAGCCTGTAATATTTACATATCGATTGTTTACATATCTCAAAATAGTGATTATAAATATTTACGAAATTACATGTCTTTAACATTCGTGGGCTTATTTCACAGCAAACACGAATAATATTAGTGCTCCGTGACCTTCCTAATCTACTCTGTTTGAGTTACCTATCGATAAGCATTCCAGTCCGTGCCATTCGAGCTTTGAAGCAAAAGACTATCCGATTATTCGATGCATCCGAAGTTGTGTCAGTTTTGGACATGAGTAAAGATATTCACAAGACACCGGAAGCAATTCACGTGAAGAGTATTCTCAGACCACCACCGCTCCCACTGTAAGTTAAGCTCTTGCCATTTGAAAGATCCCTACTCTGACCATTTATTTTGATGACAATAGGTCTGGCATCTGCTTTTTTGTTGTTGAAATTCTTATAACCACTTTTATTGTATTGCAGTAATCTGATAATTAGAATTATCAGTGCATTCAAAGAATATGAAATATCGTTTGCTACTTTTTTGTCCACTTTGACGGATCAATCCAATCAATTCCGAAAATGATTATTACCAGTCGAAAAAATATGAAACTGCACATAAAAGTATATGTATAAATTTGAGATGCTTTTAAGAAGTTAATGCTATATTGAACCTTATGATTCAAGTTGATTTCATAGTTGTCTTAAATACAAAAACTCGACCCTACCGACTACATTTGAAAATTGTATACATTTAAAATGATCGTCTTCATAAATCTATACATTCATAACTAAATGATGTACCCTTTTCGTTTACCACGTTTAAAATGTAAGCAATAAAAATATCTGCATTCTATGGGGAGGGGGAAAGGCACGGCGTGAATAAAGCATGATATACGATATAGGTGTGGACAATTCTCAAGGTTTACAATTTTATGTCGAAAGATAACTAAACCCTCATAAAATGAATTCGATTTTTCTTCTTCAAGAAGAGGAAACCTGTGTTTAAAAAAGCAACAAATGACCAACGAGTACAAGTTTTTTTTGAGAAATATAGAAAATGGCATTTTGGCGCGACGTTTTTGGTCTTTAGCTTATACATTTTGCTTACAGACAAACTGGAGAAGACGAAAGCCGATTTCGAAAAATATCAGCAGTTGTTAAAAAGTTAGTTGGTGAATTGGTATACAGAAGAAAACAAAGTGAGTAGAAACATTGCATTGCTATGCATATAGGGTAATCAGTAGGGACAAAGTAAAACAGCATAAATTTATTCAGTACAATAACATCTTACATAGAACGTATTTTATCTCTTTAGTCTCTAAAATTGCGACGCTTTTACCCGCTTATTTTGGCACATTACATGTATTTTTATTTTACACATATGTTATTTATTGTCATTTTTATATTATGACACATCAATTTAATGATATGCTAAAAAGTTAAATATAAATTATAATGCATGTATATGCTTATTTCAATGTAGTTAATTTGTCATTTCAATGTAGTTGTACAATGTACATGCCGCTGTTGAGGTCTAAATTGGCAAACAAAATATAGAAAATATGATTTCTTATATGAGTCATATACTAGTCTTTTACAATTCCACTTTAGCGTGGCTATGTGCAATGTATATGTGTGACTTTTATACATTGATGTTATAATTATATAAATTGTACAGTGATTAGGCATAGAAATAATACTTCAAAATTAAAATTCGACAAGTATATTTACTCAATCATACTGTTTGAAATTCATATTTTTTTTCAAATCGACATTTATTAAGAGTATATGTCTTACTATATGCAGATTTCCGTTACTCAGCAAGAATTTTATCTGTGATGTTAATCGGAACTTTTGTTATATACAAGGTACAGTAGATTTATTAATTTATTTATTTATTTATTATCAAATCAGGTTCAGAATCGTACTAATTAAATATCGATTTTGATTGAAAAAGTTTTTATTAGAATTTTATTTCTTTATTATATTATCCAGAGTTTTCTGTTTTGAAATTTTCGAGCTGAGTGTCAGAGGTTAAGTGTAAGATTTTTAATGTTTTAATGTTTTAATGTTGATGTTCTCAGTGGAGCTATATAAACAACATTTATTCTGTTGTTCACATAATTATCAGCTTTATATGTACCTTTTTGCCATTGTATAATGTGATTGAACAGTTAATGTTGTGTTATGGTTATATTTATCATCCTTATTAAAGAAAGATTTTGTGTTTTTTAATTGTGTAAATAATAGAACATGGCGGCGTAGCCCTCGTTCAAGATATCAGGGGCAAACCGTTGGTTTCAGTGAGCAAGAAACACACACTCTTAGTTCTGGTGTATTTGAGAGTGTTTCAACAATCTTTTATGTTCCAACACAATCGAATGGAATTGTGTTCGCATAAACTTAACTTCATTTCATAAGATTTGTAAAATATGACAACGATATTGTAGTTTACGTATAAATAAAATTTGAAAGTTTTAGTACATGAACGCATTACTTTCACTTCTGCAGTGCTAATCAGATAAAAAGTATATGGTGAATTCAAGATCCATTGGAATGTTATTTCGTTTTTGTTTTAGGTGACCCTGGAGACTATTGTCCTAGTGATATCAATTCTAAAGCTCACAGAAGATGGTTTTGACATATTCTTTGATGAAATAGGCAAGGAAGACCAGCCCGATGACGATGAATATACCCCGACATTGAGAGCTATTGCAATACTTGTTTATTATTTAATTATAAACGGAAGAAGTAAGTGCAATTATACAATAAACAAAACCTGTCCCATTTCTTTTAAAGTATAATTGATTATACCAAATTCAAAATATAAAGTATAAGTAAATCTTTCAAGTTAATAAGTTGTAAACTGTGATATGCTAATAATTTTTTCATTGGTTCTGTCCATATCGGCTTTATGTGTAAAGTGAGATAACATAAAACATTTTTTTCAGAATTTTGCTATATTATATACCTAAATTGAATATGAATTTTTACTTTTGTACATTGAATAATTTGTTATTATTATATGTTTTAGGACATATTTGTGATCATATTTTAGCAATATCTGTTCATGCAGCTAAATGTACTAAAATGATATTTTGACAACTACTACACTATGGCCATGAATTGGTCACGTTTACCTTCATTTATATTAAAATTATGTTTTACACATCTTTTTTGTATAATATGTCTCTTTAGTAAAACGTTTGTGATGCAATGTTTGGCATTTTTTGTGATGAGTATCACTTTAGTCTTCTGTCTCGTGATTTCAGTATGCTTCCTGGTAGCAATGAGTCTTGCCTGTGTCACAAGTGCGTTAACAATCCTCAACATGCTGTCCTCTTACAGGTAGGTAGTTTCTCTACAAGTGACTGACTACCAATCAAACATAACTTCCAAACTAGCAGTGATCGGTAAACGACAGTTTGACTCAATATCCGATATCAAAATTCAGTGAAGAATTGCGTCTCGTTAGAGAATGAACCAGTGCTTTGCAATGTTAATCATAAGATAATGAAATAAGCAATAAAAGGTAAAGGTTATGTTAAGCAGTTAAAGTCATTCGTTGAGATCATTCACTACAGGATATTTTGTGTACAGGATATTGCATACCGCTTAAGCCGGTGCTAGGGATTGTGAAATTTTGCACTTTTTCTATCAATCAAACTGTTCACATGAGATTATCTCTTCTAAGACATCCTTTAATTAGATGCGGATTCTATCAATCATGCCATTTGTATTTTTTATAATGCTATATAAGTGTTGTTAGTACAATATTGACATTACTTAACCGATACCCTTAAAAAAACTAATTTTTAAATTGTAGTCCTTAGCCTTTATACTGGAAGAACCTTATTTGTACATAAAATTAAAGACGCTAGCTAAGGTGTTATTTTATTCTGGATTGTTTTTCCAGATCAACCTTGTTTGAGTTGTATAGAGGTGACATAACGCACATACCACATAGATCAACAAGATCAAATTCATCTCTGCTGGTAAGCTTGACATTACAATCGTCATGACTGATTTCTATCATTGTAAGATTGCACATTTCTACATCTTAAATCTTAGTCCGCTATTAGCCGTGAAGAAAAATATCAGCCGGAGTAACATTGTAAATTTAATCACGTAGAGAAATGTCCCCATGTCAATACTCTTTGTAAAGAATTATACATTTTCTATGCAATATTTACTCCACTTGAAAAATGTCACTCCCCCGAAACCTGAAGAATATTGGCATTCAACGAATCGATCTCTTACAAAATATTAACTATTGGGACCTGCTGTTGTTGTTGCAACATTAGTCCTGCTTAAACTTTTTCTTTTTGTGCCTTTGACCCTATCATTGACCTACGTTCTAATATAAGGTTTAATATTCCTTAAAAACGACCGGATGTCATTTTATTTTAAATTCTGACAGATCGATTATTATTCTATAGTAAAAGTGACATTATTTCTGTAAAATACTTCAATTGTATTGTAATCGAAATCGAGCTCTACACTGTAAACCTTAAAAATGTAATGAAATATTTAAAAATAAATATGGCAGAAAATAAAATCCTGTTAGTCTCCAGTATTAGTTTTCATCCACACGCAGATCACTATGTTATTATATATGAATGAAACATATATGATGAAAAGAAATTTGATTCGGACTAAACTGCTTCTTTTGTCATTTTGTTTTTCTTTGAGATATTCTGATAAGTTCAACAAATGTTTATGTTAACATAAATATGGGTTTCTTTCTAATTTCGTAATTTTATCTACAATAATTTGTCTTTACTTTCTTGCAGATTGGAAGCATGACATATGCTGGCTACCAAGTTGCCTACATTGCATGGGGTGAGCATTTGATGTTTGAAAATGAAATGGTCTTTTAAACTTACATGTTTTACTTAAATATAATATAATATACATCAAGAAATGTTAATGATGAATATCTGTACTACAAGAAACAAACACATCTCCTAGTTATCAGAAATACTACATACTGAAATGTCTCTTTATTATGAATTGCAATATATATGAAATCAAAGTGATAAATATTCAAATTTTAGCATATGCGATCATAACAAACACATATTCTCAGTTTATAATATTGTACATTTTCAGGCTTGGTTATACATTTCATAATATTGTTTATAGTGGCTCTGGCGGTTTGTATAGTCATTACACTTATACAGTTGGGATACTACCAATGGCTCTTAAGACTTCTTGCAAACGCGTGGTAATTACTTAACATTCAGATATTGTCCATGGCATACTTAATTAAGAATCTAGTAGTTTATTTCATTAGGTGAAAAAAGGACTTTACTAATTGTTCTCAAAGCAAACACTTTGATATAAAAGAATAATATATCATACTTATTCTGCATGAGGATTGCTGGGCAAGTCATTAAATCTTCAAACTGGCTTCCAAACTATTTCTAAGGTCTTTTTAACTTTACCTATATGCCCATTAATTATAAAAAGAATTCCAGTTAAAATTGTAGTATCTGTTTTACTATGTTATTGCATGCAGGGCATTTTTTGTTATAAAACTGACAAAATGTAATGTCCATTTCAGTGTTGCTTGAATCAGACTTTGATTTAGCTGTCTTTTTTCGGAATTTACTTTGCGTTGATCTGATTGTTACTTTTTGTCATTGTTTTGATGCGATAGACCTTTATATTTTCTTTTTTCTATTGCAAGTTGCACTGAATGCATCATTTCTTGGTTAAAATCTTATAACACATAGACACTTATTAGTACGAATGATACTGTAACAGAATGAAATAATCATTATGATACAGTTTCACTTTTTATTGCCATATATTATCAATATTATTATTATTATTGCCATTATTATCATAGCTATAATTCATAGTGTTATGTTAACCTTTTATCATAAATAAATTTTCCAGGCCAGCGTTATTGATGACGATTATTGTAATGATTACACAGACGATTGTATCTAAATTTGCATTTCTTCAAGAGAAAGGCGAATTTCTGGCATTAAACAATAGGTTGGTATTTTTTGCAAAGTAACGGCGATTGTCAGAAAGAATATCTTAGGCAATAAAACTATGTTTAATGTCAATAAAACACAGTTTAAAACTATGTTTAATCGCAATAAAAACTATGTTTTATTTTTGAAAAGGCATACAGTATTGTTCTTAAAATTTTAACTACCTATTCTGTATTTCTATAATGACTCTATTCCTTGGGTATTATAAAAGTTGAAGTAATGATCTTATTTCACAAGATAGGAACAATTAAAATGCATTTGATTTAGTTTGTTGTAGTGTACAATATCGAGTAAAACAAATGTACAAACTTTAAATTAAAATCATTCCTGAAAGCAATATACGCTGCGGTCTTAGACTGATAGAAACTTGAGCTTTTTATAACTAGTTAATGTATATGTATATCATAAATCAACAATAGATAATGTCCAATATAAAACTGTTCATGATAAGCCCGCATAAATCTATGACAATGTCCAATATAACTGTATAAGCCCGTCGTCTTTGTCTTTCAGGCGTGTACTGTTTAGTTTCACATTTTTCATGTTTTTCTACAACATTTTCGTTGGCTTCCTCTCCTGCTTGTTGAGAATTATAAAGTCTATTGGGATCGGAGCAGCAATGTTACCACGACTTGATAACAGTGTCTTACCAAGACGATTTCAGATGTTTGATCCTGGTAACAATACTTAAATAAACTTTACATATTATTTATTTTGTTAATTAGCAATATAACTTATAAAAGATGGGCATTATGTATTACATGTAATTGTTGCTTAGAATTTAATTCTCAATTTATTTGTTGTACCAAAAGTTAAATGTTGTAACATCTATAATTTTCTTCCGGAATTCTCAAGTTTCCATGCCACATTAACAATATTGGTGTATATTATAAACATTGAAATAATGGTAAAGATTTTCTATTTTCGTTTTCCCTTGACTCTATCTTTGGTTTGCAAACTTATTCTGATTCATAGAATGTATTGTCTGTCAAAAGGTTTTGCAAACTATTGTGGGTTCATGCATGTTGAGGCAACACATACACACCCAGTGATGCTTGTCTTTTTACGACTGTTACTGCTAACTAACCAAACAGATGATGATGACAATAAATCAAGTGGACCATCCGATTCAACTGCTATTGTGTCAGTTGATATGAACGAAAAAGGTAACACTATGTTAATTGAAGTGATTAGAAATTTATAATATTTACTGATGTCAATGTGCAGAAGCAATGTTATTGCCAGAAGCCAACGATTATTATTTTTACAACCCACTGCATAATGAAGTAATTTCAATCACAGTATATCAGTAAAAAGTTTCATCTAGACTCACAAATAAATATGAATCTTTACTCCGAAGGAAATCTGGGCTTTATTATGTTTTAATTATAATGAATTCAAAGAATACCAAGGTATATTGAAGATGAAAATGCGATTACAATAGCTAATGAAACAAGTGACTCTCGTCATTCAGGAAAACTATGGTCAAAATTAGTGTATATGTTATGACATTTTCCAAGGTGTACCTATATTTAGAAATTGAACAACCGATATACATGTAACTAAATTGTAACATTGTTTTACAGACAAAGAAATGCAGATGTTTGGTAGATCAGGTTCGAAAGCCAGGACGAGATGGTTTCTATTTTACACTTTACAAAACAATCCTTCCTTAAGAACACACAGGAAATTTCACATACGGTTGATGAAACAACTGAGAGACCGGCGAGCTAATCTATGACTAAAGGGCAGTATTGTCGACGACTTAGATAATGACAATGATGTCGTCGATGATAGAAAGGAAGAAAATAGTATACAGTAAACTCCGCCTTATAACGAACTCAATTGGACATTCAAAATCTGTTCCTTATATCCAGAGTTCCTTGTAAGCATTTAGCGAATTAGTTCTTTGTATCAGGAGTTTTTATAGCAAACAGATTTACATATAACGAACTGATTGTTTACCATTGTTCGCCATTTTGAAGAGCATTTGATTAAGAAAAAATAGTCCATTGTTTCTATTTTAGACACAATAGCCGAGAGCGTACTTTTTGGAATTTGAAAATCATTGCTATTTCAGTTTTAGTTTTACTCCCTATCTCAATTTCTCATAAAATATAATATTTTGTTTCTAAACTCTTTTCGTTTTCTTTCCTTGATTGAGAATAAAAAAAAAAAATTTCGATTTTTCCTTCCTTTTATATTGAATATCTTCTATTATAATTTAAGGGTGACGTTTAGTAATGTAAGATATAGATTTCTTTTCATTTAAATCAAGCGTACTTTGCAGTTTGCAATGGAGCATGCTTGCAAGCATGCGTGATAATGTTGAAAACCGATTATGAATTATTATAATTATTTTATTCGAGCAAAACTATTGAAGAAAAGAAATAAATAACCGTTTTATTTTGGTGAAAATATCCTAAAAAGAAAACTATACAAATTCATTTTAATAGATGTATTGAAGTACATACAACAATAAACGGTACACTCGGCCGAGTTTAAATCCGTGCCAATGAAAACGAAAGTTGAAAATGCGTGATCTATTTACGGATAGCCAATATTTTGGAGTTCGTTATAAAAGTGTAATTTTCTGTACTTTTAACTAAATTGGGATTAAGAAATGAGTTCCTTATAAGCGATAATTCCTTATAACCGTGTTCGCTATAACCATATATTTTTATATTCGGGCCAAAATAAATTGTTCTCTATAACTGGAAATTCGCTATAACCGTGTTCGCTTTAAGTGAAGTTTGTTATATACATCAGCGAATATACTTATTCAGATAAACTTGATTTGGGAGATAGAAGTATGTCGGTTGTTATCTCACCAAACAGCAGTGTCAAAGTTCCGACGTTCAAATGGAGGAAGGCTACCGTAAAACCAATTAATACAGATGAAAATTGTTGAAAAAATGTTTATTTTATCATTGTATTAGACACTCTAGCAAAATATGATTTGCAGTTTTACTTCATTGCAAATTAGTTCATTATTTTAATGATCAATGTTGTAATTTTAAATGAACGCTCTTTTCGTATTTTTTTACCCATACAAAACAAAGAGTATGAATGTACTGTTGTTTTTGGCTCCTTGGACTGTCTGTTAACGTTTACAATAAGTATAGCTAGCTTATAACTTTTACAAATAAAGTAAACGTTTCCCTTGTAATTATAGTTTTCTGTGTATGTATATTGTCTTAGCTTCACGCGCATTGACATGCATGGAAAAAGATAAAATTTTAATCATGTGTTGGACAGTAAACAATAAATCGGCTGACAAAGTTTTACAATTGTCAAGTTACAAAACATTTTTTATCAACAATTCATTAGAACTTATTTGATAATAAAGCTGAACTTTTCTTCTTAGACGTAAAGCGATGATTATTTCATCCGACACCAAATTCCCTCAGGACTCACTCGGAATAGCAACGCTTTTGCTTTAAAGAAGACAACGTTTCCATGTTTTTATTTTGGAACGATTTTTCCGAACGAAAGGACGGAGTGTATAAGTCAATGGGGAGTTTTATGTCGAATGACATTTATGTTCAACATCATCATTAAATCCCATTCAACAGATAAAACTCCCATCAGGCTTCAGTGCCCAAGATATTGTTTAAAGCGAACTGCAACAAAATATAATTCCAATTCGACTCAAGGTTTATAATAACTTTTACGTTTATAATGAAAAAAAAAAGAATAAAAAATGAAATAGCCTGCGTTAATATTATTATTATTATTATTATTATTATTCAATTTCTAACATTCATTTATATTTCATTAGTATCTTTCGTGATAATATGTCAGTCAAAAGAATACCTGGTTCCGTGAGCTAATAACAGATTGTCCTCTTGAACAATGTAAAACTATAATGGGGCTCGCCGTGAAAAATGACGAACGCATTTTCATAAACTTCTCATTAACTAAATCACTATTACGTTTATTAGATTGAATGATGTATTGACATGAATTGTGATACATTTTTAACGTTATACGAGTATGTTGTGTATATTGTATTTTTATCAATGAGAAATGTTTTCTGATACGTATGTATTATCTGTAATTATGTAAGAAACAAATCATGATAGATTTAATCTTCGAGTGCTAGGAAAGTAAGATATAAATACTTCTATGAATAAGTAGAATATCTCATGAATTATTTATTAAAGTTTTACACTATTTAAAACTGTATAAAATCGGGATTTTCCTTTCATAAACGTTCCTCATTTTTGTATAAATGAAGAAAATATTAAAATAAATAAATACAGCTTTATATTAACTACATCTTCTGTTCAGAAGAAGATATGACTTATATTTAGCACTTTTTGGCAAGTCCCCTTCATTATTTTTAAGAAATCAATAAAATGTGTTTCCCACTTTAAAAAGCTTTAGTTTCGATGATTTCGTTGAAGCTATATAAAGGAGAAATGCTTACAATCATATTAAGGATACACTTGTAGTTGCCATGTTTTCCTGTTAGATAATAGATCAATAAATAAAACACAGATGTGAATTACTTTTGCAATAGAATAAAAGATTTAATATAGATCCGAAATATACACAATATATATGATTTTTGTTTCTGTTATGATATATTTTTGTAATGTTATCGCATAATATTTAAATGGTATTATACATGTATTGTTACTGTAAATATTGTATCTGTAAATACTGTTATGCTCTTCATCTTTGGAGGAAATAAAAGTATCTATCTATCTATCTCTTTATGGATGATGACATATTTAATCGACCATGACATCGAAAGAGACTTTGCCAGTATGCAAAATATCATCGTGTTTCATATTCTTAGCATAAGCTGAGCACGTGACTCTCAAGGCAATAGCAGGATTTGGCTCGTCTAATCGTACAAATACCAGTGGGCTCTGCCAGCCTTCCAATCCAGTGTTTGGAAAATATCTAAACTTAAATCCATTCGATGGGTAGTAAACTACATTCCCAAGATTGTCCTTAGTGACAGGATCCTGAAACATGTAATAAGTTACATTTAGTAATATGCATGACATCTGCAATTTGTCGTATATAACTAAAAACGCTAATTTGTATTTGTCGCAGCTTTCGGCCTTCTTCAGAAGCATTTATTATACATACAGATACAAAAAGACAAACGTCGTACACAACACACAACACCACGGCGGGCATCGCTCAATGACGGTACGTTTCATTCTCTGTTTTGTCGGATTATATTTGTATCTGTTGTAATATATATACATAGGATCTTACACCAGCTGCCGGAGTCGTAAAATTGGCAAGGATGTGTGATAAATGCAAATTAGCGTTTCTTATTATAGTAATATGTATATACAGAATACACATCTATAAAAATAGAAATTTGATTAATTGATTAATAGTATCATACCTTTGTTTATACCGTCAAAACAATACATTAAAATTAAGGAATTAAGCTCCAAAATCTACATATAATAATCATTACCTCCCCTTCACAATGGACGGTAACAGCGTATTCTGTCCAGATGTCCCGTATTTTTTCAGGAACCGTGTCATTAGTATAGGGTTCAGGCAACCAATTTAGAATCTGAAGAAAAATATATATACCATCAATTAAAAAGAAAAAGTACTTGAACACAGCAAATATTTCCTATTTAAATTGAGGGAAAACCGACAGTTGTACAATTGATACAAAGTTATATATATTCTGTGATTTTCTAAATTAATTATTGTAAATGAAAAATCAAGCTTAATTTCTCTCATTAACTTAAAGATTAAATTGCATTGCCGAAATTCAGGCAGCACTTTGTCCGAAGATTACATCGTTTTAATTCTCATCATATAGAAGTAGCATATATGTGTGTATGTGTATGTATTGTAATACATAAAGTGCTATGCAGGTTACAAATGTTTATTGTAAAATTGCAATGTTTCTATAAAATATTTCGCATATGCTCATGCTGCACAGAGCAGATGAGCTCAGGAAAAGCTGCAATTACAACGATATATTAAAGGGACTCCACTGAGGTTTAAAAGCCCAAAAACATAACATTTCTTACATAAATGAGATGCGGCACTTTAAACAGAAATACATGCACATATAATTTGGATTGTACTTTGTAATAATTAAAAAATCGTATTTTTATGCTTTACTTAGCCGGATTTAAGTGAAAAGCTTTTAAACGCTTTTCATTTTGGGTCATTTTTTTACAATTTGAATAATTACTCTGGAAAAACGAAGTGCGCGAATGGTCCGAAATGGTGAGAGGTCTATAAAATAGTACATTTATCTGGAAAAAATATTTTCAGTCCCATCATGTCAAAAAACCTCAGTGGAGTCCCTTTAACTAAATTATTGCTTATGATTTGCGACAGTCTAAACATATCTATTTATTTAAAGTTTGCAAACTTCTGTGCCATTTGCAGAAATTATCTGATTCAGAGGTGATATCTACCATTTTTTTGAACATGCAAATGGCACATATGGAATATTTGCTACTAAAAACTATATTTTATTTTACCTTAAATCCTTTTTTATACTTACACGGTCTAAATGTAAGGCAATACACGGTTGACCATCTTCAAAGCCATAACCATATTGCTTCACACACTCTGCTCCAAGTTCTATGATATCAAACCTATTTATTAAGTTGAAAACCGTTGAAATAACATTAACAAGGTATAGAAAAGGATTACTTGTCCTTACACCCACAAACAAAAAGATCGTATTCATATAATAAATAACATTTATATTTCGTATTGTAATTTCCACCCATATTTGTTTGTCACAAATAATGAGCTGCGTTGAAACTTTACACATATTTGTGAAAATATCGTTCTTCCTTGACATGTATTGAATAAAACAGCAAGTAAGATTGGACAAACACGTGAAAGATTTTATAAATGATCTGCACATGTTCAAAACAACTTTTGCTGTATTCAACAACTCACTGTATGAAATGACATATAATGCTACTTATTTTATGTTTGGTTAAGTGGTAGATCAACCGGACACACGTGTGGTGAATTTACAGCTTTCCATGTGAATGAAGACTACAGGTTATCCACATTTCCAATCGTTAAGTGACCAATTGATACACCTTTCGTCTGCATTATGTGCCAATAGAATAATCAAAACGTAAATTTCCAATTTCACGTAACAACGAAACTGGGAAACCTGGTGACTGCAGCATTCTGTTGTTGTTATTGTTGTTGTATGTTTTGTTTCCTTTTTATTAAGCTAATAGTGTAAGCAATTATTTTTTAGGATAATTATTCTGCTGACACTTTTACGATCTTTTTTATTTTCATTCTGAACCAGTTCAAAGCATCTACTTATGGATTCACTTTTGAATATCTAAAAGGATATTCATTGAACATTTGCACTATTTAATGAGTATAGATGATGCATAAGTGACAAATAAAGGGGAATACACATCTACGCCTCTGAAAATTTAAATTCCAGTGAATAATTTTATATATTCATTTATCTGACATAACTCCAGCATTGCGTGAGAAAGTGGCATTTAGCTCGACATTTCAAATAGAGTCATTTACATACAAATTATTACCAGCAATATTTATGTGTTAATAGTAGAGCTATTATTGGTCTGAAATAGAAATATGAATAACAACAATTCACGACTGTTTCGAATTCCGTAATGAAAACAGTCGTTAGAATTATAATTTAAACCAACTATTTGATACTATGTGTATGTGTTGTAATAATAATTAACTAAAAGAATGTAAAAGTGTATCATAAGTTTAACCTATTTTTTTAAGCTGAAGAAAAATGCAACAAATATCATTATTTATCACAATTACATTATGAAGAAACCATCTGGGTCTTTTTTGTAAACTAAATACCAAAAATGAAATGATACGTGGATATGAAAACATAAAATCCAATTTATACCAGTCTGCATTTGTTACACTTTGTTATCATATTACAATAAAACGCATTATATGAGCACGATAACGAAATAAGCACCTACCTACAATAATGATGCAAATCTTCAACAAGCCGATATTCCGCGATATCCCTACAGTCAATTTGGTTGTATTGATACTGAACGAAATATTCTAAAAGAAATAAATTGATATATTTATGCCATAAAGAATACAACATAATATATATCAACACCTATGACGGAAATATTGCAGGCTCGGTTTGATTGAGCCTGTTCATGGCAGTACTGTCAAGTGCAAACTACCGTCCATTCACCCTAGCAACGACTTAAGCAGAATTCAACATTTAAACCATGAAAATGGTGAATTTCTGAATTCCGAAACATCCGCAGATGTTTTAATACGGCGGTCATCATGGAACCTTCAATGTGACACGTTAGTGCCATTCCACGAAAAGCGGCGTATGGTCCCCAATTTAACAAAATGCTTGTGCCCTGTGTTACGTTTTGTTACATAATACAAATCATAAAAAACATGCAAAAAACTAATCAAAAGAAGTACGTATATTGTAAACAAATGTTGTACCCCAGAAAATGAGCTTGGATAGTTTTTTGAAAAATACTCAATGAAAAAGTCTGAATATATAATTCACTGAACTAAAACGCATGTAAACTGTGTAAGTTTCGCCTTTCTCAGCAGAAAGGACAGACCACGCTGACATGCGAGTGGTTCTTTCTGGGTGCCCTACTTGAGTGTGTCGGGGGGGGGGGGCTGCATCCTGTGAACGTTGCCTTTGCCTTGTTGATCTTTATTCTTGTTTTTTTTTTGTTCACCTGTAATATCTTTCCAGATGTTTCAAAATAGAAACTGATCCACTTTAAAAGAAGGTGACCTCCTATCGGTCATTGTCAGATCAACTTGAAAATATAAGAATACTTGAACTTTAGTCAGCTTGTATTTGAATGTTTTATGTCTGTTGTGTAGTAACATAAAAACCTATGAAAAATCTGAACAATCTTTTAGTATGAAGAAGACGATTTAAACTAAGTGCGTTTTCATTTCAAATACAGACTATTAAAGTAAAGATAATGTTTTTTTCTCAATATTCGGGTTGTGTTACCAAGTTTTTGAACCCAGGTGACCCATATTAAAAGTTAAGCTAGAGATCAACATAACAATCTCTATAGTGGTAACAAGACGTTTGTTTCAACAATCGGGCTATGTGACCTAGCTTTTGACCCTAAATGACAAAAATTTAACTGTTGATATAAATCATCTTAACAACGTATCTGACCATTGTCCATGAATTTCGGACCAAGACAGTAGCCATAAGAGTCTTAATTAAGTTTTAATAATATTTTAGCTGTGTAATATAATTTTTGACCCTAAGTGACTATTTGAACTTGAAATCATCTAAACAACTTTTGTGACAAACTTTCAAGATATTCTTTCCAGATATTTAACCCGAAGAGGATCTTGGGAATGATATCATCCAAACACATTTTCTTACAAAATAAAAGAATTTGTTTGGACCTAAACAAATACGTCGGGATTGGAAACAAGATTTTCTAATTTTTGACTTCTGCAATGCAGTTCTTGATCAAAGTCGGCCCATGTTTGAATTGAGCTAGAAAACATCTGAACAACCTTCATGACCAGTGTCAATTTTATTTGAACCGAAAAATTAGCCTCTTGAGTCTTAGCAAGGTTTTCCTTTGTTTGTGGTTGTGTAACCTAGTTTTTTTTATCCCAGATGACCCATATACGAAGTTGAGTTAAAAAGCAACATAACAACTTTTCTGGCCAATTTCCAGGATATTGGGGCTGAAAATATTGCCTGTAGTGTGTTCAAAAGTTTCTTGGTCATATTTGAGCTGTTTGACCGGTTATTTACCCAAAATGACACATATTCGAACTTCAGCTAAAATTACTAAGCAACCTTTTTGATTAATTTCCACAATATTTGAACAGTAACAAATTAATCATAGCATATCTTTAAATAACATTTTTGACAAATTTCAAGGATATAATATTTGAACCGAAACAATAGTTTTAATTTTTTACAATATTATTTTCTATATCTGGCATTTGTTTCGATCCTTTTTTCTCTTACTACATAAATCATGATCCAACTCGTCCGACGGTTACTGGTACAAACATCTTGTCGAAGTTTGGTGACAATTGAGGAAAAACGGGACCACTAGAGTGTTATCTCTTTAACTGTTAAATTTAACCTTTTCCCTTATATAAGCGTGTGCCCCCTTGTGTTTGGGGGGGGGGGGGTTTGAAGGGGGGCGGAGTCCCCCTCATCGCAAAGAAAATTTTGGACATGTGACAGACTAAGAATGGCCTCAGGTCGATCTTAGGGTAACTAGTAACCGACGCTGAAAAGCCTTTCACTCAATCTCAATTCGTTGAGAAGTTGCAGCACTTTGAAATCAGTTTTGATGGAAAAAACAATGCAAAATAGTGATTTTTGGCAATTTTGAGACGTCCCCCCCGTTGCCATGGTAACAGGAAATTTACGATTGAGCATGCTGTTACAGAGGCTATGGTCTAGTCAACATTTGTGCCAAGTTTCATCAGCATTGAAACATTTTCATAGTTTCATAGCAGTTTGAACTTGTTACAGGAGGCTTTTCAATGAAAATGGCCATTTTTCGCATTATCATCATGGGGTAAAAGGTTAAAGAAAAGGCAGTGGTCTTGAATTTCAGAAATTATCTATTTTTTGTGATTCTAAACAGGTACCTTCAAGTTTAAAAATCCTAAACAAACCCATGCCAGTTACATGCATATCTTGTTCTCAAATATAGAGGCGTGCTTAATCTTTAAGTAAAATAGGCCTGTAATGGTTCCGTTTTGTCACTCACAGTTATGGTAAAATCTTTTGCCCATATACGAATCAAATAGTTTTGTATTACTATCATTTTTTCTAAAAGTACAATGACATTAGTGCTATTTTTTCTTAATTTTAAGTATGTTTAGTAAAAAAGCTCTGTCTGGATGTCACAGTTTTCTAAGGCACTCCAGCTCGTTATCGCATTAACGATATATAACTCCTGTAGCCCAAGAAAATTTCTAAAGATATCTATGGAATTTACCTGTTTCGTTCAAACGAGAAGAAGTTGGACAGTTTTATCTTTTAGGCAAATTTATATTTTATCCTTACCGTTTTTTTCAAAATCAACTGTTGGTCAAATTTAATTGTCATTCTTTTGACATATGTATTTAATTACGCTCAACTTGACAATACTGTCACTATAGTTTGGGAAACTTTTGTATGTTACCGTTTAGAAAAACAACCTGAAATGCCGAATATGCGCATGCATCAATTCAGACATAATGAGCAGCCACGGCTCAACCATTCGCTAACAAAAACTCCAAAATGTCAAAAAATTATAAATTAAGGGTATAAAATGTAAAAAAGATATCAGCCAGAAATCAAAAATTACGACCCGGCTAAAAATGAGCTGATGTTCAGAACTGAAGAAATATTATTTTTAGACTAAAATGACAAATGTTTCAATTTGATTGCTGACAATAAAAAGTGCTGCTGAACTTACCTGGATGTGGAAGAACAGAATCAAGTCGCTCTGTATAGAGGTTGTAAGTTGAAGCTCTAGCTTTATTGAATCTAATAAGTCCTCTAACTGATTCCAAGTTTGGTTCGTAATTTAATCCTTTAAACAATATACAAAACTATCATTAATGCATAGAATCCTTGTGTTCGTTGTGTTCATAGTAATCAAAACAATAAGGAGTAACGTATCAAATTTCTATGACACACATTGCTATAGTTACATGAATAAAGTGCAAAACCTGCATGGAAACGCCCCTTTAGAGACAAAATGAGGGTTGTTGCGAAAGGGTTTACTCAAGAAAAGCAGCAACATTTACTGACACTTCTAGAATACATGATACCGTTGTTGTTAAGAGGTAAATGTTCTATAGAGGGTGTCCTTGTAGTAGTTGCACCGTATCATTTTGAATATTAAAATGCCTCCATCTGCTTGAATTGATATATTAAAGAAAGGTCGAGCTATTGTCAATGGTGGCTGAATAATTTCACTTTTGTGCGTTGTCGGTAGCGCCAACGCAACAACTTCCATAATCACCTCCTCGTCTTGTTGCGACACGCGCCAAACTTGGCGCTTTGTTGCTATGTCGCTTGACAACACGCCCCGAGACAACGCGCCTTTTGGGATGTTTCGCTAACGACTTGACGATAAAGACAAGGCGATAATGCGCCACTTGGCAAATGGTCGCCTTGTCGCTTGCGATAACACGACAAAGCGCCAAACAGCGCTTTATCGCCTTGTCGTCCTGACGTCATGTCATTAGCAAAACACGCCCAATGGTGATCATTATTGTCAACTTATATCAAATACCCCTTATGAATGTATTTTTTTACTCCGCACAAGTGTTTTTCCATCAGCTTTTGGTGTGACATTAACCTTTGACACAGAAACCGGGATCAAGAATAAAGCAATACGTTCTATTGTGGTAAACATTTTAAAAAATCATTCATTCATGTAGGAGATATGTTCTAGACAAAATCTGAATTTTTCATTATCTTAAGTGACCTTGACCTTGTATATATTGAACTAAATTACAGCATGACTATGACCATTTGTGTTATATTTTTTTAGTAAATGATGACGAAATGGTCAATATATACATCATCATATTTTAACTTTGACCTCTGTGTATGGCCCTGACCTTGGTTACAGGGACCTGAATGTAGCGCTCAACACTAGTGTGCCAAAGTGTATTGAAATCCCTCAATGCATGTAGAAGTTTTGCTGCGGACAAGAATTTTTCAATGACCTCTAAATGTAACCTTTACCTTTGACATAGAGACCAATAAATGTGCGCGACAGGGCTTCTTATAAAGTCGAACATTTCTTTGAAGTTTAATTAAACCCCTCCATAAGTGTGAGAGATATGCTCCGGACAAAAGTGAACTCCGCCCACCCGCATGGCAGGGGCGTTCCCTTAATAGGATCTGTTTTTCAAACGGGCGTGTAAAAACGAATCGATATTTGACTGAAGTGAACTGGAATACTTGGACCTTATTGCTATTCGTTCGTAAGATACTTTGCATTTTTAAACACTATAGATCTAGCTGGTAGGTCGGTGGTTCTACTCATGTACTATTCACATGTCCACACGTGCCTGAAAAAGACCGGCAAAGAGACAAGTAAGATGTTTCTCCACCAGTCAAGGTCGAAAGAAGCCATATGGCCCTTACAGTGCTGGTGTAACCTACAAATCAGGTGTGCGTCAAGTAACCTACAGAAAAGTTTTGAAGATATTCGTGTTATGTATAAAGTGAACACTATTTTAACAATGAAAAAATGTACAAATTATCCCCTATTAACCACATTTTTGTTCAGTTTTATATTCGTTATATTATAATTCATCATTATTTAAATTTCACTTTTATACTAATTAAAACAGGATGTTAACTCTTTTCCTTTTAACAGACACTACATCCTTTAAATGCATTATATTAAAATAATATATTGAATTTAATAACACATGTGACATCATATTTAATGCAGTTTTAAGAAATAAAACAAGTTGTTTACATTATGACAGCGAGAAATGAAGTGTAATAAGACTCTTCTCTGCCCGAAATTTACAGGTTTAACAGCTTTCACCAAATTCGTGTATTTTTCACATTTGGGATATTATTTACCGCCTAGCTCTCCTTTAAATTCGACACATTATACCAGATGAGTTAAAGTGAAATAAATTGCAGACGAAATAATTCAATGGAAGTTTTTCAGTGAATGATTTTCACGAAGATCTTGACAGAAGTTATAATTTGCTTGTAATATGTAGACGTTATAATTTGCTTTTAATATTTAGAAGCTTAAACATTGATAACATATTTATTTTAAACATACCTGGATAATTAAGATATTTCCCCATGGCACCATTAAATTCTGGCCTTTCTGGTATTTGGGCTTTAAGTTCATCATAAGTCTATTATCAAATAAAAGGAGCATTAAAATAACTTTAGATATGTTTAAAATAAAATCTTCTGCTTCAGACAATTTATTCATAACAAATGTTCTGTTGATAATATAAATCATTTTCAATCTGATCTTTTTATTCAGCACACTTGCAAATATCATATACAAATGCTTTGCACTGCGCTTTACTGTTCATGTATATAATCATTTCTAAATTCAATTATAATATTTGATAACACAAAAAGTACATTTTGAAACAAAAGGAATTTCAGCGCTATATACTGTATAGTGTTATAAATACTATTTTAAAATAACTAAACAGCAAGAGAAACTTTTTTTAATATTCGTATGCAGTGTGATCATAGTTCGGTTCAATCAATATCAACCTGGAAGTTACATGTTTATAAATCATTTGTGGGTACTAAACAATCACAAAACGATTTAATAAAATGTCTTGTTTTACCTGGCTTAATCCACATGATGATAACAGCAAAACGTGTATAAATCGGAATATAACCATTTTCTTTACAGAATTTACACATATGTAATCAAAATTACTACCTCCAAGCGAACCTGCCCTAGTTTAACATTACGTCATTTTGTGTAACTAAGTAGAATTGTGGTTGTATAAATCGATACATTTTCACACAAATTTTACATGCTAAAAATAAACAAAACATTTCAGTACGATTGGAAACTGTACAGATAAAAGGCAAAAAATAACACTAAATGATGAAAATAAAATTGTTCATTATATAATAAACCACGATATTTTCATTTTGAAACATTTTAATTGAATTGTTTAAAATGACGAATTGATTAAGGTAACTTACTTTAACTGACTTTCTCAACTGAACTGTTTTATTTCGCGATATAGGCCACTGGCCATTGACACATAAATATACATATAAAAAACAATTGGGTGAGTGCATAAAAATACATTTGAGACAATAAGTATGATTTTAAACCTACGAAATGGAAATTGTTATGCTGTTAACATATAAGTAATATGTTATTTCAATTCTAGTAAGTTTTCCATTCTGTTTTGTGCTAAAAACGAACGAAGGATATTCATTATTAGAATATAATTTCTACTGCTTAGTATTACGCAAAATTAGATTAAAGAATGATGTACAAAAACATAATATAATTATGAAAGATTTTATACAAAGATATACACGTAAAATGCTGTTAACATAATACATGTTCTTATTGTATTTGCTGCACGCGCATTGACATGTTGATATTGGAAAAAAAGATAAATCTTGTTTCGGAAAGCAAACTATAAATCAGCAACACAAACAATTAAATATAACAATTAAAACGAATTTGATTATTAAGCCGGACTTATCTTCTTAGACGTAAAGCGATCAAAATGTCATCCGACATCAAATTCCGGGCTCACTCGGAATAAGGGAACGCATTTTCTGTAGAGAAGATAACGTTTGCATGTTTTTTTTTGGAACGACTTTTCGGGGTTTATGAGCCAATGGAGACTTTTATGTGGGATGAAATTACTTCTACAAAGGTAAGTCTAGCTGCATCATTAAATCCCACTAAACGCATAAAACACCCATTAGGGTTCAGGGCTCCACATATTTTTTTAAAACAAACTGCAAAGAAATATTTTTCCCATTCAACTCAAAATATATAAATAATTTTTACGACTATAATGAAAAAAAATAAGAATAACAAAATGAGAATATTACTTTTATTATTAATATTATTTCTATTTTTCAATTTATAACATTCATTTACAGTGACCATTAAACGGTATACAACTATATCTTATGAAATATTCTAATACGATTTATCAACAGTAAAATTATATTCTTTCCATTATAATATGGTTGATTCCCGAAAAGTTGTAACAAAGAATGTTTCTGTTGTTTAATACACATGAATAATGTACATTAACAGAATAAAATGTTCCGGAACATTTTTTATTTTAATTTTAAGTAGGGTTTTATCCGTTTAGCAATGATTTGTGCATGCACTTTTAAGGCAATAAGTTACCAGTTTTATTTCATACAATCATTTTGGAAGTATACTTTTTTTTAATTGAAACACTATTTAATTTGCATCAGATATACAGCTTGATACACTTAAAGGGAGTTTATATGCTGTAATGTACATGATATTAGAAATTTAGCTATGTTTATATACCATGCCTTCCATATTAGACAACAGTTACAAACAATTCTCGTGTAAAGGTACAAAAATGTTTAATTTAAAGTTCTTTATATATGTTTTATGCGAACCGAATATCTAGTCCCATGCAAACGTACATAAAAGTTAATTGACACATTGTATTGTACTTCTATGTATGTAACGTACGAATATTAGCTGTCATGTAATTGTATATAGATGTATCATTGATACATTGCAATTCTTTGTGTATTATATGTATAATAGGTTAAGTATTATGCGCTGAATTATAGGTTCTACTGAAGGTGGATTGTATCACAACACAATGTTCCGTTTAATCATTTATTGTTTCTTTCTCAGTGGAATACCACAAATAATATATTGAATTTGCACAGGTTATCCTGACGTTAACAAATACAATGTAAATATTAAAAAGCAGTAACAAATATTTCTAGTGGAGAGCCACAACGTTATCACTTGGAAATCCAAAATCTAACTGTCTAAATTTTTCTACATGTATCTTTACAATATTTCTAAATAGGATTTCGTTTTAAACTGACCAATAGTATTTTAACATTTTTGTGTCTTAAATAACAAAATGACCAATCAGGTTTCAATACATAATAAGGTAACATAGCAACATAGAATTTATAAGAACAATCATCACCTGCACATTTTATCAGTCATAAGGTTTGTACAGACAGCTTAATTGACTTTATCACCTAAATATAATAAAACTTTTAGCACAATTGATTGGACAAAGAGGAAAAGCCATATTTAATATTCCGGTTACATAATTATTAATTTGACATCTGTTATTAAAACATATAATATTTGTAACTTGACATATTTGAAATTTCACACATTGTTCTGAAAATTTGACCTTTTAGAAAATGATTATATTTATAAATATTTGTGTTTAAAAAAAATCATCATGCATATTTATTAATTTATTTGTAAAAGAATTTTATCATTTTTCGACCGCACAACATAAGTAACACGATGATTATAAAGGCTATAAATTTGTAAGTTTCAAATCATACACTGGTCTTACTTGTATCAAGTTTGAAGCATTATATGTGTTCAAAGTATAGTTTAGAAGTAACATTTGTTTTGTTTTGTTTGTACAATTTCAATATTTTGTGCCATATTACTATTGCAATAAATCAAAACAATATAGCTTAGATTAGTAAATGTAATACAAAGACCAGTGTATGGAAGAGAATTAAAAGTATACTATGTAATAGATGCTGACAATGTCTCTCCCGTGATTGCAAGCCTAATACATACACGAAGTATTTCTTATTATTATATATCTGAATGTAGAATCTCTCAAAAAGTAAATAACTTGTAAATAAAATATATAATCAATGGTAACCATTATAATAATGAAAGAAAAGAAATACTTGCAGTCACGTCATCTTGCTATGTAATTAGTTATTTACTTATGCATACATGTTATTGTATATATTATGAATGCTTGTACATGACTCTTTTGAGAGTTAATTTGCAAAATAAAGATTCTTCTTCTTCTTCTATGCTGAATGAAATATGATTTTAATGTAAACGACTGGAATTTGCAGTAAGTAACATTCTAGTATGTAAGAATATTAGAGAAAAGAAATATCAGCAATTAAGAACGTTATTCCCGAAACACATTATGGACTCGTGACAAAAGACAAACTTATATTTTATTATTGTCTCATCTTGAATGATGTCATATTTAATTGATCATGACATCGAAAGATACATTTTCAGTTTGAAACATGTCATCGTGTTTTATATTCTTAGCATAAGCTGAGCATGTGACTCTTAAAGCAATAGCAGGATTTGGCCTGACTAATCGTACAAATACCAGTGGACTCTGCCAGTCGTCTAATCCAGTTTTAGGAAAATATCTAAAATTAAATCCATCCGATGGGTAGAGAACTATTGAACCAAGATTGTCTTTAGTGACAGGATCCTGAAACATGTAATAAGCTAAATATAGTAATATGTATATAAGAATTTTGATTGGTTCATTCGCTCCATATCATTGATAAATATACATATATATGTATGTTTATATCGTAAAATCGAAATAATCAATGCAAAGGAATTAAGCTCCACCATCCCTATTTACTTGTTTTATTATTATCGTTTTGTTAACAATATAGTGCATATAAATAATACAGCATAACCATTACCTCCCCTTCACAATGAACGGTAACAGCGTATTCTGTCCAGAGGTCCCGTATTTTCACAGGAACCGTATCAATAGTATAGGGTTCAGGCAACCAGTTCAGAATCTGAAGAAAAAATTGAACGATCTCGTAAAAAGACAAGGTAATGATAGTACTTGAAGTCAGCAAACATTTACTGTTTGAATTTTGGGACAACCGGAATTAACATATAATTGATACATAATAATACAATTCAAAATATGAATTTCCTTACTTTCTTTCAAATAAAAAATTATTAACATGATAATGCATGAAGACACATTAAAGTTAAGGGTGTATAATGATGAATAATATAATTTCATCTTTTAGTAAATATCAGGTAGACAATAAAAATTATTTCGTAAAAAACAGGCAGCCATAAACATCTTTTTATAAGTGAGGTGAAAATTCATTTTTTTAATTGAAAAATCAAGCTAATTTTTTTCATTAACTTAAAGATTGAAGTGTATGCTCGAAATCAAGGCTACGCTTTACACGATGATTTCATTTTTGTAATAAACAAGATATTGAGGACGAATTCCATTTTATGTATATCATGAACTCCGTACTAGATACATCACAATAAATTATTACCTTGGATATACTAGGTATACTTTCGTAAAATTACCTCAGTCCACTCATTATTATCTTTAAGTAAATTTATTCTCTTTATCAAACTTGTGAAAGAATAGATACGCTGTTAAGTCTATGTTTTACAGTGTACATAAATTGTATTTAAATACTAATTGTAAGAGCCACCACCGGGCGGTTGCAACGCAAGACTCTATATGACATTTTTTTATCAAAGTTGTGCACATGGTCCAAATTTCATAGCTTCACATGAAAGGACAAGAAAGGAGTAGGTGTATTACAAGAGATAATGTGATACAGGTGACGACTGTTGTTTTTTTTGCGCTGTGGTCGTAATTAGTGGACATAACAGTGTTTCTATAAAAATGTTCGTACATGCTACATACAGAAAATGAGTTCAGAAGCAGATGCAATCACAACGATTTAACTAAATTAATGCTTTTGTGTTGCCTTAGTATAACCATTTATATTATGAATTTAAAACATTCGGCCACAATTATCTGTGTTATTTTCAATGAATTATCTGAAGTGATGTCTACCAATTGTTTGCTATTGATCAACATCATTATGGACCATATTTTCACAAGTTTCTATTTCACCTTCAGTCTTCTTTTATACTTACACGCTCTAAATGTAACGCAATACAAGGTTCACCATATTTATAGCCATAATCTAGTTGTTTTACACAATCCTGTCCAAGTTCTGTGATATCAAACCTATATTAATTGAAAATCGTTTAAATAACATTAACGAATAATTGTTATTAACTCTTTAATCGGAAAAATTCATAAAAACCCGCTCGTACTCTTATAAATGAGTTATGTACTGCGTTGTACGGTAACTTCTACCCATATTTGTTCGTCACATGAAATGAGATGCGTACAAACCTATTACACATTTGTGAAAATATCGTTCTTTCAGAACTTACACTAAATATATGTCAAAGATTAAGATGGAACACATATGTAAGGAGTTCATATATTAACTCCATACCGCCCATAAGGTTTTCACTGTATGATGTGACATTTAATACTATTAAGTTTGTTTTTGGTTAAGTGTAAGGTCACAAGCATACATATGTGGTGGATTTACAGCTTTCCTGCTTGATGGAGACTACAGCTAGGTAACCCACAAAATATTCTTTTAGATACATCTTCCCATTGTTAAGTAGCTCATTGATTGATATATGTTCAATTTAATGAGAAAAAAATGCATAAATAGCAAATAAAGTGGACTTCATATCTACGCCTCTAAAAATCTAAATCCCAATGAATATTTTTATATATTCATTTACTCTGACATTACTTCGCCATTGCGTTAGATTGTGTCATCCATCTCGATATTTCAAATAGAGTATTTTACATATCAACTATTATCCAGCAATATTTATGTGTTGTGAAGGACAATAAGTCTGCCATTATCGGTCACAGATCAGAAATATGAATTATAACATCTCACGTCTGTTTTGATTTCCGTACTAACAAATGTCGTAAAAAGGATAAAATAAACGAATTGTTCAAAAATACGCTGGTGGTAATGATAATTAAAATTATATTAAAGTGTAGTCTAGGATAAGTCAAGTTTTAAAATCAGGAAAAATGCCTCATAAATATGTTAGAAAGTAAAAACATTATTTGTGCAAACCATCTTTCATTTTGTAAACTAAATACCAAGAATGAAATGAAACAGCAAGGAAGGGAGGCGGATATGAAAATTTAGCATTCACTTTATACCAGTCCACTTGGTAAAAGATCTATACAAAATGTTCATGATCGAAAACATTTAAAGCTATAAACATTTACGTACAATTCTTATCTTGTTGTATAATTATTTGAAATTTTAAAGTATGCCTTTTTGTCATTATTTCGACTTTCTTTCTAACAAATGCACTGAAATATAGTGTAGTGACAAAGCGTGTCAATCATTAAGGACGTTTTCGTGAGATTTCATCTAGACATATAGGCAAAATTAAAACTGTTCAATATAATTTCTTTAAACTTGGCATGTTGTCGAAAAAATTTAAGCGAAAAAATAATTGGGGTCACCATTCTCGTTTTTGAGTTATCTGCCCCTGAATCAGATTTTTCTACTTATTTGAGGCCATTTCAAGGCCAGATAACTTATAAATACTTAAATGAATTCTTGGTTTTACTTCTGGATTATGTTTTTCTTTTTATTGTTGAGTACAATACATAATAACCTGCAGTTCCTTACATCGTTTTTGTTATTTTTGTTTTTCAATGAAAATAAAGGTACTTTAAATTCTTAAAAAATAGGCGACTTTTTATGAAAAAATGAATTCTTGTTTTTACTTCTGAATTATGCTTTTCTTTTTATTGTTGAGTACAATACATAATAACCTGCAGTTCCTTACATCGTTTTTGTTATTTTTGTTTTTCAATGAAAATAAAGGTACTTTAAATTCTTAAAAAATAGGCGACTGTTTATGAAAAAATGCACAGGTTAAAAGAAGAAGTGGGAATAAAAACTACCCACTCTAAATTTGTTCTTGAAATTTTGTATATCAACTGAAACGAAGGTAAGCTTCATGAAAATAAGGAAAAAAATGTATTGCTTCCCTTCATTGAAAATTATTTGCCCTTGAATTTAACAAAAAATTCCAATTCAAGGGCAGATAACTCAAAAACGAGATGGTGACCCCAAATTTTTTCGCTTAAAATGTTTCTGTCAACATGCCATGTTTAAAGAAATTATACTGAAAGTTTTTAAATTTTGCCTAATTATATGTCTATATGAAAACTCCCGAAAACGTCTTTAAAGAGCAAACACATTATCACATTGTTTGTTTGTTTTGTTTTAAATACAAATTCAAATTTTACAGCGTTGAGAGGTTTGAAGTTAAAGACATTGACCACCCGGCCACGGACGCTGTAAATATCACAATAAATGTCATTGCAGAAAATGCATAAAGCAGTTCTTTTGCGGTTCCTAAAAAGTAGGGAACATTTCAGATTTTTTTCTAAAAGTAATTAAAATGATATTCCAAGCACCGTCCCTTAAAATGCGCCATCATTTCTCTGAATGTCCTTGACGAGACAATGCATACACAAATTAATAGTTAGCATAATTATATTACCATATATGGTAAATTGAAGAAACTAATTTTAACGAATTAAATAGGGCAATGATAACAGATGATTCAATTAAATTCCGTAGGTATCTCCCACATCACAATTATTCTTAATTGATTAAAATAATACATGAATGTATGTGCGGACAACTGTGTTTCCGTAGTGTTAAATCAATAATAAGAGGACCTAAAGATGTCATTTTAATAATGAGTATGCTTAATTTGCATTATAGGTTTTTCCTGCATTGGTCTTGGAAGATTTAGAAATTTCTACGACAAAATCGAAAATAATGTTACCAACAGTATATAAGCCTAGTCGGACTGCATGAATGTGCAAATGCTTAACAATTCAGATTCAATCAGGTTTAGAATGTACGTCATCTATCTCTTTTAAATGCGCAGACGGACAAACAATATTCTAAAAAAGGTGGAAACGACTTTGTTTCACATAATTACAAACAACTCATTATATTCTCGTGATAACAATGTAAGCACCTACCTGCAATTACTATGCAAATCTGAAACATTGCGATACCCTCTTATATTATCACAGTTCGTTTGGTTTTCTTGATTCTCACCGAAATAGCCTAAAAGAAATAATTTAATACATTTATGCCGTACGTAAGACAAACGACATAATATATATCAACACCTGTGACTGATCGACGTTTTGCGCACGTTGTTTTCAAATAACATTATTCCCTGCTGCATTAAGCCTGGGTACATGTACAAACATTCAAATGCACGTAACAGAGCTTAATAAGCAGAGCTGCTATGTGCATTATAATCAGATGTTGATTTTAAGATAATGCACTAGGATAGTTATTTGAAAAAAGTCAATGGAAATGTTTGTATATTTAGATTTTGAACATGTACTCAAGTAGGCTAAGTACGTTTCCTCTTTCTCATGAATGGGGCATATCAAGTTAACCCGCCATTTTTGATATATTTTCCAACGATAAAGAAAATAATAAAACAGATCCTCTTTCATGAACGCAAAAGCTGCAATTGATTAGCTGATTTAAAAGTCACAAGGAGGTGACCTCCTATTGTTCATCGTAAGATCTACATGTAAACAGAAGAAGATCTGAACTCTAGATTGTATTAACCTGTATGTATGTCTTTGTGAAGCAATATAAAATCCTTTGAATAAGAACATTTAACTATTATTAAAAAAACAAGCGCGTTTTGTATTCCAAATACAGAACCGATGAAAAGATCATCATGACATTAATAATACAAAACTTGGTCATAATGAAGAAACTTGGTCCATATATCGCTCACTTGATTTTTTAGGCTCTTAATTCATATAGTAGGCAATGAATGAACTGTAGATAAAATGTCATAATCTTAAACTTATATAATTACGTTCATATCGGCAAATGTAAACAAGGCTTTTCCATTTACGGGATGTGACATCTATTCTTTGTCAACAGAATGCCCATATACGCATGTGACGTAGAAATCCTTTAAACAACCTTGCTGACAAATTTCCATGATAATACAGATGACCCATATTAAATTCTGTGCTAGAAATCAACATAACAACATTTTTAACCAATTTCCAGGTTATTTGGACCGAAATGGCAACTTCATGAGTGTCCACAAGGATTTTCAATATTTCAATATTTGGGCTGTGTGACCTTATAGTGACCGAAACAATAGCCTCTAGAAAGCTAAAGTCGTTTTTCAATATTTGATCTGTGTGACCTGGTATTTGACCCCAGAAAACCAATATTCCAACTTGAGCTACAAGTCATCGTAACAATCTTTCTGACAAATGTCCAGAGTAGTTGGACTGAAACCTTAGCCTCTAGAGGGTTAAAAAAGATATTCATTATTTTGGCTGTGACCTAGTTCTCAACTCAAGATGGAACTTATTCAAACTTGAGCTTGACATTTCTGACCAGTTTTCGAGATATTTGGACCTAAAACAGTAGCCTCTAGATTGTTAACAAGGTTTTTCCATATTTGAACTGTATGACCTAGTTTTTGATCACAGGTGACCCTTATTCGAACTTGAGGTAGAAATCATCAAAACAATATTTGGACCGAAACAGTAGCCAGTATACGATAAACAATATTTTCTATTTCTAGCTTTTGTGAACTAGTTTTTTTTTATCCGAGATGATCCATTTTCTAACTCTTCCGAGCATTTACGGGGACAAACATCTTAACCAAATTTGATGACAAGGCAAAATGTGACCACTAGAGTGTTATAGTCCTCAAAGCTCACACTGAGCCAGCTCATGTGAGCTAAACAATCAAGTTTTATGAGGTTCGAAAATTCTAACTGATTTTGGCTTTGCCATATTTTTAACTGTTCTGTGGTCTTAAATATCAATAATTTTAGATTTTGTGTGATTTGAAAGAGGAACCTTAATGTATAAATATGCCATACGAAGTGTAACACATTTACTGAAATATTCTAGCCTAGTCGGATGCATATATGTCTCGTTCATAAATATAGAGTCTTTCTCCTTTTCAAGTGAAATGATCCTGTGAACCGAGTTGCCATCCAATGGTTCCGTTTTTCCACTTACATTTATGGTCAAGGCTTTGCTCATTTACGAATCAAATGCATGGAGTTTTATTTTGCTTGCACTTTTTAAAAGTAGAATGAAACGTTAGCTATTCTTTTTCTTGTCAGCCAATTATTTGTACATGATTAATCTGCTTAAATTGTTTTTACTTATTGGTATTACTTTTTTGTGAGCGAGGAGCTCCATGATTATGAAATGCCCTGTTCTTCAATAAGGGCATTTTTTAAATATTACCGTTTGAACAAACTACCTGAAACGCCCAGTATGTGCATGAGTCAATTCAAACATAACGAGCCGCATCGGCTCATCTCTTCGCTTACTTACATGAGAATTTAAAAAAGGTACAAATCGTTAGTTTAAGGGTATAAAAAGTAAGATAATATCAACCCGAATTCAAAAATAACGATCCATCTAAGAAAGAGCTTATGTACAGAATTTTAGAAACACTACTGTGAGGTTAAAATAGCATATGTTTAAATGATTGATGACAGTAAAGAAGAGCTACTAAACTTACCTGCTAGAAAAGAATCAAGTCGTTTTGTATAGATCTCGTACGGTGTTGAACTTCTACCTGTATTGAATCTAATGAGTCTTCTATCTGATTCCACGTTTGGTTCATAATATAATCCTTTAAACAATATACGAAACTATTTTAATGCGTATAATCTTGGATGCAATCAAAACACAAGTGAGACATATCAAATTTACATAACACACATTGATATTGCTCTGAAGGGAATGCACTGTATCATTTTGAATCTTTAAATGCGTTCTAGTTAAATCTAAGTAAGTCGAGCATTTTTCAATATCATATTACTCATACTCAAATATGTTCATTTTCACTTACAAATGAAACCTGCTTTTATCAGTTATATCATGACTTATGTCATTCAGTGTTACACATATGAATCGATAGATGACTGTAATGGTTTGAAAACTGATACAACATCTGTATCCTTCATTTTATGAGAATAGAAAACTGCATTTATGCTATCACACTTTTATCAAAATTGATATAAAATTGGAACATTTAACAGTAAATGAAAAAAAAAATCTTCTGTAATAATTATTGTACTGTAGAATCATGTAAGGGAAAACACATGGAAAATAAGGCATCGGTGGCCGGGTGGATAATGTCGCCGGCCCTTACTGTTATGGGTTCGTCAAAGACTTTGCATCTTAAAAGCTTTACAGCTGACTGTAACGTCGGTGGTTCTAATCAGGTGCGTGCCCATTCATGCCTCAAATGACGAGCGAAGAGGCACATGGGGGTTTTCTCCACCAGTCAAGCTTGAAAGTAGCCAAATAACCTTTACCTTGCCGGTTTGACCTAAGAAAACAAATGTGGGTAAAATACGCTGCAGAAAATGTTTGAAGATATTTTTCAGTCATTTATAAAGTGTTCATTATCTTAACAATCATCTCTCTGAAACCGCTATTTTGTTCAGTATTCTATTCATTACATTATTTGTCATTATTCAGAATTTCCACTTATGTATTTACTTATTAAAACAGGATGTTAACGCTTTTCCTTTTAAAAGACACCACATCCTGTATATCTGTGTTTTTTGAAAACGTCTTAATTAATAAAACAACATACGCGACATCCTATTTAATGCAGTTTTAAGAAATGCAATGATAAAAATGTGTGCATTAGGACAGCGAGAAATGTAATGATCTTTATCTGCGCATAATTTACCGGTAAAATAGCTTTCATCAAATTCATGTATTTTCTACATTTTGGATATTATTTACTTTCCAAATCGACACATTACCAGATAAGTGATAAAGTAAAATAAGTAAAAATAATTTAATGACAGTTTTTCAGTAAATATTTCTAGACGCATAGGGATTTTCACATGTAGATAATTAGATACAGTAACTTCAATGCATAATATGCCCCAGAAACAACTGTATATTTCTTCTTTAGAAAAGGCAAGAATGAATTATATAACGTTTAAATAATGGTTTTAGACATGTTAGATGTTTTTCACCTGAAGCAAATGGCGCCGAATGTGTATTAATTTTTAATGAAAGTGGCAAAATGTGGAGAAAGTAGTATTTTTACTTCCATTAAAAACACTAAATCACTGAATCAGTGCTATTCGCAAAAAAAACAAAACATCAGAAGCAAACTTTAGTATAGGAAATAAAGCAATGAGTACTTTCTTTTTAAATTTAAATAGGGCACCAAAGCAAAATAAAATTAAAAGCATATATGGGGCATAATAGACCTATAATATAGAATAGAGACAATAAGAATCCCTAAATAAAGCCCAAAAAAGACACAATTGAAATGTTGCAGGCTCGGTTTCATTGAGCCTGTTCATGGACGGCAAACTAATGTCAAGTGTAAACTACCGTCAACGCCTCCTAGCACCGGCTTAAGCGAATTCAACATTTAAACATGAAATGGTAAAATTTTGAATTTAGAAACATCCGCAGATGTGTCCGTACGGTGGTTATCATGGAAACTTCAATGTGACACTTCCGTGTCATTCCATGTAAAGCGGCGTATGATCCCAAAGCAACGGAAAGCGTGTGCACTAAACGAGAAAACAATGAGCGGGATTTTTTAGAGGGGATAAGAGGTTCTGAAGCCTGCATATCACAGATAAGACGTCAAAAGACAAAGTTAAAAAGCAGGCAACATATCCTAAGGGTGATTAAACAGTACTCAAGTAGGAATATTGGAACCACCCAACTAGAAAATGCCAAATAGTTCATGTAGTTAAAACTAAAAATACCACAAACACAACAATAATGTGCTGAACCATAAATATAACATTTCTGATTGAATGTACGGGGCGATTTTTTACAGTCACCACACGGCACAAACAACGCTGATGTGGCGATGAAATAGAGAAAAACAAGAATCCCTAGAGAAAGCCCATAACGACAAAATGTTGCAGGCTCTGTTTTATTGAGCCTGTTCATATAACATTATATTAAATTATATTTTGCTTGTGATATGTAGAAGCTTATACATTTTAAGCATACCTGGATGATTTAGATATTTCCCCATGGCGCCATTAAATTCTGGTCTTTCTGGTAACCGTGCTTTAAGTTCATCATATGTCTTTAAGCAAATTAAAGTAAAAAATCTGCAAAAATCTGAGATAAATTTAAAATAAAAACTTTATTTCCGACAATATTTTTTCTTTGAATGCCAGTTGATAAAATAATCATTTACAATTTGATTTTTTGTTGAATTTTTTCTTAAATCAGTACGCTTAAAAATATCATATACAAATGCTTTGCTGCGCTTGCGGTTCAATGTTTAACTATCCCGGTGTCAAAAAGATTTAGAAAAAAGAAGACATTTAGAAAAAAAGTCCTGCGCGGTATATCGTTGAGTGTTGTATTTATCTAAAATAAATCAACAGCAAGATAAATTCATTTATATATTCATATATCCTGAGTGATCATGATTTGGTTCATTAAATATTAATAATTAACCAGGAAGTTTCATAATGTAAAACATGTTTTTAAATCATTAATGGGTACAAAATGGTTACAAATTTAAACGATTTAATAAATGTTCTTGTTTTACCTGGCTAAATCCACATGATGATAACAGTAAAACGTTTAGAAATCGGAATGTAACCATTTCTTTTAAAGTATTCACACATAAAATCCAAATTACTAGAGCTCCTTCATTCCGTTGAATGTTCAGCCAAGCGAGCTTAATCTCTAGTTTACATCAACTCGTGTTAACAAGTAGTATTGTGGTACATGCTTTAAATAATCAACAACAACTACAACAACAACAACAACAATTTTTAACAACATTTTAGTACGATTGGAAACTGAAAACCTTTTTCAGTTTCTGTTTTTCAACAGGATAATAACAAGAGTATTACCGAATGATGAAACAAATAGTTTCTTCATTAAAAATTTTCTTTATTAACCACAATATTTTCATTTCCTTTTTGAGAAGAATTGTTTAAATGACGAATATATTGAGGCATTTTACTTTTAAATTAATTGAATTGCAATTCTACGGAATGAGCTCTTGCACTCTGAACTCACTTTTCGATATTTTCAATTGTTTCAAATATATATAGTTAAATTAAACTTATTTACAGAGAGTCGGCGATTCTATCAATGAACCTGCATTTGTCGGACAAACAAGATAACTTAGATCCATCTAAGTCTTCTCCCATCACTTAAGTCGGAAAAAATCTAAGAATCTAAAAATCTTACCAACCAACCAACCAACCAACCAAACAAACAAACAAACAAACAGAAAGTGTTGTTACAGTTCACATAAATAAAATAGGTATGCATTACACCAATAAATGCAAAAAAAAAATACTCTTTTCTATACTTTATCTTACAGCGCCTTTCCAAATGCAACCATTCGTTTAATTTGTAATAGGTATAAGAGGTATTATCTGTAGCTTCCAATTTCTTATTAAATTTCAATCAATATGTATCAAGACTTAGTATACAATCATGCATATCTTTTATTGCGAATTATTTTTGTCACGTCGACTCCGCAAAGGCCACATCGCAACATAACAGCTTTAATAGCGAAGGTACACCTCTGTCACGAGCGGGCATCTACGTAGAACAACAAACTTCGTTAGCTAGCTGGTAGCGTCCTCACATGAAGAAATTCAAGGGCCCTGGCAATATTCGAACGAACTGTGCGTTGAGGGACAACTAATTAGTAATCAGAATACATATCCACTTAGTCATTGAGGCCAAAAACACTTAATAGAAAATTCAGTTTTTTTATTCATTTCTAGCATGTCTAGGCTTGCAATATAAATAACAGATGCCACATCTGAAAAAAAGATAGTATGTTATTTAAAAATTGGGACGGCTACCATAACAAATTTGTTTAAGCATATTTATTTTAGATGAGTTAAGACATGTAAGATGCCTCCTTGAAACTTATTTTAACAATTATCGGCACAGCTTTATAAAACTAACCAGTAAGTGTCAAATATAAATAAACCTTATCGTGACCCAGTAGGACTCAAACACACGATTTCTATGTTGAGCGGTATAAACATCTATCACTACATGTATTGTCATTATGTCACTCATATTAAAAAAGTCGCAGATTATGAATGTGATCAAGATTTAATTTTATTTTACGGATTCTTGAAGGATAATGTACGGGACTAAACCCATAAACAAGATCTCAACTAGCCAATACTGAATGCAATAAAGAAAGACATAATTCCGATATCAGAAAAAAATATAATAGTAATTAAAAATCAAAACATGATGCGACTATGTTATTCTGTTTTATCTTTTGCATATTTTTAAGTTTTAAATGGACGAGTTGATGCAAATTTTAATTTCAAATTTTATCTTTTCAGTATTTTGGACTTAACAAAATAATAATAATAATAATCACGATAAAATGTTATCATATAGAAATAAGGCGGAATTCAAACTAGGTTAAACACGGCGAAGTTTATATCTTTTAAAGATATTCAATATTCGAGAATAATTCTTTTAAATAACTGTGTTGTTTCCATTAATTGTCAAATTTTGGATTGTTGATACGCAATTTTTTCTACAGACATAAAAAGAATGGTGGCGATTTGCAAGACAGTGCATTATTAGAAATTATTTTACAATTATATAATTCTTCAAGTTACTTCAAACAAACGCTAGTCAAAATATAAAACAGCTAAGACATATGCCAGTTACTTTTTATTCATGTACAACAAATTCTAAAACATATAATATAAGATGACAAGTGCCATTAATTTTCATAAAGCCATATCGTAATGTATCATTTAATACACCGATTTACCCTGAATTGTCAATACTGTTAAAAAGCCATAGATTCTGCATAAGAACATGTAAAAGAAACAACAACTGAAATTCACTTCAATGTACTAAATGTACGGTGTTTTGATCATCATTTTTTAGCATCACCAACCTCTGCTATTAACGCAGATCAACGATGAGCTAAAGAACGGACGCTCAATGTTATCGTCTCCTCGCTTCGATATAGTCTCATTGTATCATTGCCTTTTTGTGCACTCACCTCATGTGCCTACGTATACATACTAAGATCAATATACATGTTCTTGACATCTAGAACAGTACACGTTTCAATAAGAAGATACGACTAGACGATAATACGCAACGCCAAGGTGACGAAGAGATATTCCGGAGCGACATAACCACAAAATAAGAGCATGACCAGAAGATGCGAAGAAGTTAAGTTACAATTCGCATAAGCGACGACGAGGCACAACGCCGAAGTGACAACACGACAGTGCAAGGATATGATTAAACGATGACCTGCAGCGACGTGACGATAACGTAACGACAAGACAGAAAAATGCGCCGAAGCGAAGAAATGATGACATATCGGATATTCATATACCGGTAACTGACTGAAATGCTTGCGTTAGATATAGAAGAAGGTTAAACCTCTTTAATCGACCATGATAATGAACGATACCTTTCCAGTTTGAAACATGTCATCGTGTTTGATATTCTTAGCATAAGCTGAGCACGTGACTCTTAAGGCAATAGCAGGTGAAAAATCTGCTAATTGCACAAATACTAATGGGTTCTTCCATCCTTCTTTTCCAGTATTTGGAAAATACCTAAACGGAAATCCCTGCGGTGGATAGTAAAGTATATCACCAAGATTGTCTTTTGTAACTGGGTCCTGTTAAAAAAATATAAAAAATAAGGTCATACATACATTACTGAATTAACTGAATACAAAAAAAGAATCATACGTCTATGTTTTTCCATAGGTTCCTATTTGAAACGTCATATAAAAAAACAAATCTAAATCAACGACACAAGCTCTTTTTCCATGTAACGTAAAAATGAAAATGCTAAGAAATATATTTTATTGATGAGTAAACGAAAGAAGAAAACCATAAAACAATAACTGAAGGAATTGTGTAGTATATTGATCATTTATTTCTGTAGATGATCAATGAGGTAATCATGGTCAATAATCGTTTAACTAAGGATATTGTTAACATGGACAAAGTTCATTTATTATTTTAGTCCTATTATATTTGTAATTTACATACAAATCAACCATGCGATAACGAATGAGATGTCACTCAAGTCCTCACATATATATAATGTAAATAGCATGCAGGAATATATTTTGTTCAATAGACTATTGTACTAAAAATAATGATTACCTCCCCTTCGCAATGTACCGTGATCGCGAACTCTGCCCAGCTATTGCGTATTTTATCCGGAACCGTTTCATTCGTGTATGGTTCTGGTAACCAATTGAGTATCTGGAAATTAAAAAAGACAGGGTTTTCAATCAAGTAAGCAATGGAAAAAAAACACCTTCAAAGCTTTAAATTGTTTGAAATTAGCTACTTTAACAATACATTGATACCGCATGGAATATCATAATCGTGTCAGCTTATCATACAGGTTGTTCAAACAGAATGAATTATCATTTTTGTTTTATTTAATACCAACTTTATCTAGGTATAAGTGCTAATATGAGATATATGTAAATGTAAACGTTAAATGAAACCTTCATCTACAAATATGTCAACTCAAAAAATAAAAATCTTCACTGACACTTTCAAGGAGTAGGGGTTAGATCGCACCAATACAATAGTATAATACAGAAGTAAATATGGCAGTTGTCCAGCTTTAGATGTTACAAAAGACCTCAGGTATTCCTTACGCATTATTTCAGGTACGAACGGGCACTTAAGTAGAATCAAACGTTCCAAAGGACCTAAGCTAGACAGTTAGCTAGATAGCTTCCTACAATGAAATAAAATCCAAAGTACCTGCCGGGATTCGAGCACGCTGTTGTGAGGGTCAAGTGGTTTGAGGTCAACGACCTTAACCGCACGGTCATGGACGCCGAGAGGCAGACATTCAAGTAATCCGCTAACATTCCCAATGTGACTGGGAAACAAATATACTAGTAACATGTTCGTGCATTTTGTCTGTTCATGATGACGATATTTGTAAAATCAATAAGATATGCCTAATTGAACGATTTTTTTACCAAAGTTTTTTCTCACGACTTCCTGTGTACTTACGCGATCTAAAGACAACAAAATACAGGGCTGACCATCGTCGAATCCATAGAATGTCTGCTTGACACAATCAGGTCCTAGTGCCATCAGATCAAATCTGCATTAATACAATACATCAAAATCCTTCATAATGGCGTGGTAATTGAAAAAATAGATAAAAACAGATTCACTAAAGAATGCCCAACACGGCAAAATTGAAATGTTGCAGGCTCGGATTGATTGAGCCTGTTCATGGACGGTACTGGAAAGTGCAAACTACCGTCCACGCCCCCTAGCACCGGCTTAAGCAGAATTCAACATTTAAACATGAAATGGTAAAATTTTGAATTTGGAAACATCCGCAGATGTGTTCATACGGCGGTTATCATGGAACCTTCAATGTGACACTTCCGTGCCATTCCATGAAAAGCGGCGTATACCCCTTTCAATTGATAAGGTTAACCAATTTATTTCATTATGGAAAGAACCTCCTGTCACGTGTTAACTAACAGATCAGGATCGGGTTAAATTACGTTACTCTCAATGTTTAAAAAAACTTAAATTGATCGGATTTTTTAAAAAGCAAATGGTACATAAACAAGATGAAAACAAATTGTTGCTTTGCACAAGCATATTTCGGGATGATATCAACAAATAACAGAACAAATAGGAAAAATATCAGACCAAAACAGAAATCAATTTTAGTATCAGGATAAATATTTGGAGCAACTAATGACATCTTGTTAATTAACAACATGCATTCTAAAATTTCACGAACCTCACGCTATTTTTAGTTCAATTCAATTAAGTTAATATTTAATATTAGTTCAATGAACATAAACAATGGACATTATTTTAGTTTTTAACTTTGATCCTGATCTTTATCTTGATCCTTAAATCTTACTGAACACGAGACCAAATTCTGTATTATTGCGCAAGACCTGTTTCTCCATTAAGAGGAACATATATATTATTCAAATCGGTTATATTGATAAAAAAAATGATCACGATATTGGGCTAAAGAAATTAATTAAAACAAAATTCGCTTTACATTTTTATCCGACAGAAAAAGCCATACACTATCTATTTGATGATTTTAGGTGATCTTAAGATCAAATCCTACTTAAATGGACCATATTCAGAACAACGTCCTCTGTCCGAGAGAAGACAAGATAATGACCGCCTGATACGCCTGATGACTTTCAACTCCTTTTGTATAAAAGGCGGTTCGAAACCCTCGACAAGAATTTATAAAACTCTCACTCATACCGTGAAATCTGTTAAAGGAAAATTGCTAACAGTTGATTGCTTTTTTATGTTTCGTTTCTCCGTAAATGTATATCTAAAGTATTATAAAACATGCCATAAAGTATGGAACGGAGGTACCGGTCAGTCCGTAAACATAAATCAGTAGCCATCAATGCTGTGACTTAAATATAAAATTCAACATCACAAACATTTTTATGACATGCTTTTCGTCAATCAGTCACAAAACATGCTTGTTCTTTTTTTTAAAAAGTATGTTAATAATCATTTGATTTCAATACATTGTTTTTTTTAATAGTCTACATGAATATATTTATTCTCTTGAAAATATTTAAGATGTAACAGTTAAAAGTCAGAAAGAAAGAAAAAAAACGTGGAATTTGATATAATTATTCATTACTTGAGAAAACTATATCCAATATTCAAAAACTCTTATATGGAGCGGTAAAGCACTATTTACATCAAAGATAAAATTACCTGCAATTTTTATCCCATTCGGAGAGAGGCCGGTATCCGGAGATAGATTCACAATCAATCATTCTTTCATCATGTCCTTTGAACATATTCTCATATTCTAGTTAAAGATAAAACGAAGTACAATAATATCCAATGCAATAAAATTTGTTAAATATAGTTGTTAAAACGTTATTTATAGCAAAAAATAAATTTATTGTAAGGATATTTTGAATTATCGAACTTGGAAAATGAGTACATGTAATGCACTTTTATTTAAAGACAAGAGGGCCTTGATGGCCCTGAAGTCGCTCACCTGTTTGTAGGCCCCTGGAGCGGGGCAAGTTTAGACCCCAGGGCTTTTATTTGAACAAACTTGGTAGACACCCATTAGAAGATGTTTCATGCTAAACGTCTAAGGTCTAGCTCGTTTGGTTTTTTAAAAGAAGATTTTTTTCAAGTTTTTTCTTTACACATATAGATAAAAACAATGACACACCTGGGACAGGGCCAGTTTTGACCACAGGGCTTTTATTTGAACAATCTTTGTAGACACTTACTAGAAAATGTTTCATGCTTAATATCTAAACTCTAGCTATTCGGTTTTTTTTTTCAAAAAAGATTTTAAAGTTTCTGCTATGTATATAAGGTAAATCAATGTCCCCCGGGATGGGGCCAATTTTGACCTTTAGGCTTTTACTTGAACACACTTTGTAGACACTCACTAGAAGATGCTTTGTGCTTAATATCTAAACTCTAGCTATTTTGTTTTTTTCAAAGATGATTTTTTTAAGTTTTTGTTATACAAATATAAGGAAAATCAATGACCATCGGGGCGGGGCAAATTTTGACCCCAGGGCTCATATTTGAACAAACTTGGTAGACATCCATTAGAACATGTTTCATGCTAAATATCTTAGCTCTAGCTCTCTCGGTTCTTTAAAAGAAGAGTTTTAAGTTTTTACTATATGCATAAAGGGAAAATCAATGACCCCTGGGGCGGGGCTAATTTTGACCCCAGGGCTTTTATTTGAACAAACTTGGTAGACGCTCACTAGAAGATGTTTCAATCCAAATATCTAAGCTTTAGCTCTTTTAGTTTCTTAGAAGAAGATATTTATTTTTTTCTTTTGGTTGCCATGGCAACCAGAGTTTTACATGGAATTAAATTCTTTGAACAATTTTCAAAGGTGACCATCAAAGGAATATTCCTGTGAAGTTTGGATGAAATTGCCCTAGTGGTTTATGAGGAGATGTCATTTAAAGTAAAAGTTTACGGACGACGGACGAACGGACGGACGCCGGACGGACGCCGGACGAAAAGTGATCACAAAAGCTCACCCTGTCACTTTGTGACAGGTGAGCTAAAAAATAGAAAAAAGTAGTCTTGTTACCTTTCAGGCATGGTTGGATATCTTGACAGAACCGACACCCTCCTGATACCAGAACGCTCATGATATAAAAATATCTGACCATGTTTCAAACATCCCCATTTAAGCTCTATTGCTAAACAAATTATTGGATCTGATATCAATCACTTTCTAGTCCGGTTCCGTCCCTGGCTTCAATTTTAAAAAACTTAAAACCCCAAAAGGCCCCCCCTTTCCATTGAAAAAAGGTGAAAATAAAATATACACCTTGAATTTTGGTTTTAAAATATTAAATTTTATTTTATAAATGGTAAATAGTCCCCTACCCATTAACTTGGTAGTGATTCGATCTTGGAAAACGTCGTATGTTGAACGTCTTCCTTTGACAATTCTTATAAATTCTTCAACTGCCTCAACTTTCGGTTCATACACTAGTTCTAAAAACAAGACACAAAATAATAACTTTAACAAAATTGTCAAAAAAAGGGTGCATGCACTTGTTTTTGCTACAGTCTTCACGTCAGTGAAGATTGTTAAAATTGTAAATAATGTATAATAAATAATACACATTATATTATTGTCTGTTATACCTAATTAAATATACATGTACATTTTGTTTCGAAAATTGTTAATGACAAATTCTGTGCTTTTGCTGTTGTTTGTAATGTACTGTACTGTAATTATCATAGAACTCTGAATATTTTATCATCATTTCAATAGTAAAAAACAACTATGATTTTTAGGCAATAAAAAAAAACTTACCCAACTTAATCATTTTTACCCAAATTTAAAACCCATAAATTTTTTTACAATAAAACCAAAATTGGGTCTTTTTGATAAACTATTCTTACTTTCAACAATTATATATTTTCTTAATGAAAAGTAAAAATAGAATATTTTACCTTTCTGTCTAATTCATTATAGATTTTGTGCTAATGCAATGAGTGTTATTTCTTCTTACAAATGATTTTGAAATACATGATTGGTTTACTTGTTCACATCATAAACCAGTAGAGCTTGACTTGAGTTCTGCATGTATATAGAAAATATATACAAAGGTCAATTATAGTGTTAATGTATTAAAATGGAACAAAGTAGATAGAGATAATATAGATAATTACAAATAATTGATTGAGAATGAAAATACAAACATTGAAATGATTGTGAATAGTGTAATTAGAATTGATGTTGAATAAGACATAGGTGTACAGAAAATATCAGATGTTTTGAGTGCGAAATAGTTTAGTATATTTGGAGAGTAAAAACAAATAAGAAAAAAATACAAATAATAGAAAGAAAATTTAAAATATTCACGGTTTAATCAAGACAATGAGAATGCTTTGATTTAAAAATGTAAGTAAAAAGGATTTTTCGAACAGGACGATTCAAAATAATTATAGAAATACCTATCAACAGACGACTTTATAGAATACTAAGAGACGAGCACGTACTAAATGTTATTTAAATTAGAGGATTTTTGTTTGTTTGTTTTGGGTTTTACGTCACATCGACACAGTATAGGTCATATAGCGACATTCCAGCTTTACTGGTGGAGGAAGACCTCGGGTGCCCTTCCGTGCATTATTTCACGCACGAACGGGTACCTGAGTAGAACCACCGACGTTCCGTAAGCTAGCTGGATAGCTTCCTCACATGAAAGAATCCTAAGTCCCTGTCGGGATTCGAACCCAGAGGTGAGATGCAAGTGGTTTGAAGTCAACAAAGGAAGAAAATTTCAATTTCAGCTGGCAATCAGCCACAAAGTTTTGGAAGGAAATTTAAAAAAAAAATAAAGAAAGAAATCTAGCGAAAATTAATAACCATCAGATAATTTTTTGAGCATTGAAAAAAACTTGTTTTCAAACGAAGAGACATTCAAAAATAATTTTATTGAGGACCATTAAGAGAACAATGATATACTTAAGAACAATGCTGAAGAACTACTTGATATGGATTTCACGATCGATGATGTTATGAAGGCTATTTCTTCCACAAGAGTCGTAAAAGTGCTGTAGATAAACTTATTCTAGAGATATGTAATTTTTTAGTGAATGTAAAACCATTTAAGCACCAATATCATATAAATTGCTTAATCATATTTTTAATTCAAATGAATATCCTGAATCGTGGTGTAGCGGTTTAATTGTACCAGTGCCCAAGAAGCGTAATCTAAATGATGTGAACAATTAAAGGAGTTTCATCCTTACAAGTATGTTTTTTCTAAACTTTTCTCAATAATGTTAGACATGTGATTATATTAATAGGCCTGAAGAAATAAAACATTGAACGAATTCAAGCATGACTTAAGAGAAGAGTACTGTTTGCGTTTTTTGTTTTATGTTCAATTATCAATAAGAAAAACAAAAGGAATTTCCATCATTTATTGATTTCGGAAAATGTTTAGATATATTATACAGAAATGGAGTATGGCTTAAATGGATTGAACCTGGTGTATCATATAAAGCTGTAACAATGTTACGTAGTATGCATAAATGTGTGAATATGATATGATAAAAAAGATCAACAAGGAAAGGCAGCGTTCAATGAATGCAACCCCCCTATGACCCAGCAACAAGAACCAATGGCAAGGAGCCCAGGCCGACCCCAAACAAAAACAGGACAGTGCAAAGACAGAGTACGGACAGGTTAATCATTAAATGATAAATACTTTATAACTGATTAGGAATTCAAAGGTCCACAAAGGGGAAAGGGACAGGAGACCGACGGTAGGGGGGGGGGGGTTATCAAAGAAATAAAAACTAGAGGCAATGGGGAAAATACTTACCGTAGACGAGAAAACAACAAGGGACACAAGCAAAAGTGTCACCAAAATAGTATGAAACATTATAGACATTCATCGGAGGAACACAGGGGCGCCGCCTTGGAACGGTCAGCATCATAATAATGACTGATAGGGAGTTTAAACCGGTTAATGGTGCACCAAACCTCGCTCTTAGCCCCACCATGTTCCTATAAACGAGACAGTGTAAATAAAATGAATCCCCGCCAAGTGAAATTCTAACAGTTGTCATGGTTACAAAAGGTTAAATAAGTAAGACACTGAAATGATCATCTAAAAACATATAAAAGTAAACCCAATGACCATAAATAAGTACTCAATGTCTTAAAGAAGACAGAGCAACAAGAAAATCACCTACAAGGGTCCGACGAAGCAAGGCAGAAGACAAACATAAAGACAATTCAGTCCCAAAGGGCTTTACTAAGTATGCATCATAGAATCTCCCACTTGGTCCGTCAGATGTAATCAAAAAAGGAAAGCGTCGTGTCCAACTGTAAAAGGGTTGAACACTATGCTGTATGTCATAAAATAGTAAGGTCATTATCAAATTTAGAATTTAGAAACATTTGCAGATGTATTCAAACGGCGGTTATCATGGAACCTTCAATGTGACACAGGAGTGTCATACCACGAAAAGCGGCGTATGGTCCCCAAGTAAAAGAAAGCGTGTGCCCTAAACGAGAAAACAATGGACGGAACTAAATAAAATGGAATTTTGAAAGGGGATCTGAGGTTATGAAGCCTGAATATCACAGATAAGACGTCAAAAGACAAATTTAAAAGGCAGGTAACATATCCTAAGGGTGATAACACAGTATTCAAGTAGGAATACTGGAACCACCCAAATTGAAAAGGCCAAACTCAAAAAACTAAAAATACAATATAAAATGTATACACAACAATAATGTCGTGCTGAACGATCTTCAATGATCGAAACATATAACATCATTGATTAAATGTACGGGGAGACTTTTTACATCAAGTTTGCTGGTAATAAAATATTCCACTCGTTGAAATCCTATACGTTGCTAAAAGCTCTAGCGAATCTAATTAACTGAGAAACATAAACCCCGTAAGATGTTGCATGGGATACTTCCTATGTAAATGTGGATAATTAACTATACAAAAGTCGAAGTCATCTCTTTTATCATAAATGTTCGTGTGAATAGAATTGTTGTTGACAGTAATATGAAGATCTAAAAATGATGTATTAAAATTTCAAGAATTCGTTTTATTAAGTTGTAGTTCATGCGGATAAATGTCAGACACCATTTGATCAAAATAAGGATTATCAAAATAAGAAATATCATTAAAGTATCTGGAAGTACTAATAAATGCGACTTTAACATCTTGTTGTTTGCCTTCAGAGAGACTAAATATAAAGTCTCTTTCATAGCAATACAAAAACAAATCGGCGACCAGGGGTGCACAATTAGTACCCATAGGAATTCATATGATCTGTTTAAATAGGGTAATACCATACCTTACATACATGAGCTAAATGTTGTCTAAAAGAAAAGAGAGTGCTCTACAAGCTTCGTCACAGGTCTTGTGAAAGAGCAAATGGTAGCCTGTCAGATAATTCTGACAATAATATGGGTCAAATCAAGGGGAACCACTATCATCTTCGTTTTTTCTGTTAGTGATATGTATGAACAATTACAAATAGATAATGTTGATACATTTTCATTAGATGATACCCAAATATGTTTACTATTATTTGCGGACGATACAGTTTTATTTTCTTATTCTAAGGAAGGATTGCAATGCCTCCTTAATAAACTTATTGTACTGAGTTGGGTATTGTGGTCAATGGCTATGTTTTTCAAATCTGAAAAAAAAGAAATAAAAATGTAGAAGTATACTGTCATTATAAGCTACTTAGAATTGTTAGGTCATTCACTTATTTTGGTATTACGTAAACGTCTAATGGGAATATCAGGCCCAAAAATCAAGCACTTAAAGCACTAATCCCTGTTTGTACTTTATTTGATTCAATATTGCGCTTAATGTAACAGAAAGATTAAAAAAATGATAGTCTGATTTTACCGACTATTACATATAGTTCAGAGATATATATAATATTACAACCGTGCAAGTAAATTCGATTTTACGAATAATTTATGAAGTTATAATTTGTTTAAAAATCAATTTATAAAATAGAAATATTAAAGACGTGTTAATAGTCTAAAACACCGTATTATGCTATCAAGGTTTGTGTGCTCTTAGCATAAATTAGCTCGTATTGAAGAGGGTACACATAAAAATATTGAAAGAAACCAACGTCTCTGTACAAAATGCAATATGAAACAAATTGAAACTGAGCATCATCTTTTTTAAGTATGAACTTAAGAAAAACATGTTTACCTAGATATATTTGCTAATGGCCTAATTAAAATAATTTCATATCAATAATAAAATGTACATACATAAATGTAATTGTGAAGTAAGCAAAATTTGTTTATTCAGCTATTATTTATGTAACTAAAATTTCAATCTACTCAGGACATTTATTTTAATTATTACACACTGAAACATATGTATATGTATAATATCTTATTCATAACTATACTAATTTACAGCAATTGCCATGTTATCTAATTAAAAACTAATCTTACATACGATAAACTCCTTTAGTGAAAGTAACAATATCATATATATCAGATGCATAATTTAGTTTCCGTAAAGAACGTTCTACTATCGATGCAATTTTTGTTCTTATGTCATTAATTCAAAAAATTGTAAATGAAAATAAAAGTTTATATATTGTTCTTATCGATTTGATGAAAAGTTAAGACAGTATATAAAACAAAAATGCATTCTGTTGAAAATGTATTAATTGTGAATAAAAGGTAAATTGCTGCGTATTATAAGAGACATGTATCAAAAATTAAAATTTTGTGTCAAATTTTGTTCGTTTTATTCTGATTATTTTTATTATGCTATTTGATTACGTCAACGGGAGGTTATTTCGCCAATTGTATTCTCTTTTTGTAGAGGTTTCAGAGTTATATTTGAAAACCGGTCACGAATCAGGACTGTCATATGATGATATGTTCTTTTTTATTATCGTTTTATTGTTATTTGCTGACGACATAGCCATACTAGGCAAGTCACCATTGGAACTTCAAATACGTATATTGATTTAAAACACTACGTATTTGTAAGAGTAAAACACCTGTAATTATCATATGAAATGTATACAAGACAACTGTAATTATCATGTTAACAATATGATAACAGTACTGTAAAAATAGAATAATGATTGTACAAAGGACTTAAGATGAATGAATTTTATAAAATGTGTTTTGATATTAAACAGTGATTTCTTCAGTTAATTACATGTATGTTCAAAATGGTAAATGTATTTTAGTTTAATATAATTCAAACTGTGATTGACAATGTTAAGTAAAAAAACTTCAATAATCATTAAAATGATGATCGCAATGATAAATGTAAGTATAAAAAATGATAATCGTATGTACCATTTAAATGATAGACTCAGCTATACATTCATTTAAATGATAAATCATCTCTTTTTGTTTTCAAAATAAAATTATATACATATTAATACACGAAGTTTATATGTTGTGGTATCTTAGATGATAAATTTAACGAATAGGTGCAAAAATTTGAACTTATACAATACAATGTAGCCTAAGGCAGAACAGTCGCTGTTTAGTACGACCTTTTGACAAACGTTGGTTAACAAAGTACTTATTCTTGTCGCTCATTTAAAGCTTGCTTACTTCTATCGTATATACATGTATCTTATTTTTCATTTGCATGTGATTAAATAAAATAAAATTAAATATATATAAAAAGTCATAATTGTTACTGAATATTTCATAGTTTAAAAAAACCAAACAAAAAAAAAACAACATCTTTCTGGCAAATGTAATTGCTATCGTTTAACGATGAATACATGTATAGTATACAATATGGTATAACTCATCTATCTATATCGACATTATTTACGGAATATGGCGAAGATTGCCGGACTGCATTCGGTTTTTTGATGAAGCTATAGTCACGTGATACGTAATAAGAAATGTTTATAGCTTAGTATTTTGGGACTTACCGGGATAATTAAGATATCTCCCCATGGCGCCATTGAACTGTGGCCTCTCTGGTAAATGTGTTTTAAGTTCATCATAGGTCTATAAACAAATAACAGGAACTTCATTACACATTAGTTCAACTTGTACTGCGCGACGAGATATTGTGCTATTTTCGTGTCTGGGCAATATCTCGCCTCGAGATTCTGCCCCAGAGCGAAAATATCTCAGAATCAAGCTTTGGCACGTCAATATATTTTGACTACATTACACATCAGAATATATTATGATCAAGAATAACACATTTACAGTAATAATATATTTTGTCATTTATAACATTTGTAACATTTAACAACTTATAAACTGCACTGAAAAACAACAACAACAGAAATTAAAAACATCCTCTGTTCGCTATCATTCCCGTGGAAGTTGCTAATTTCTGTAATACGGCACGAATGAACACACACATATACAAGTCGCGAGAATATCGAATAAAAATTACATTACATTGTGCATATATAACCTTTATATTTATATATATCAAAATAACAATAAGTGAAACTTGAATATAAAATATAAAGCGTAATCAACATTCATTCAGAAATTTTATTTGATTATAGCTCAGTAAACAAAGCAATTTATTGTAAAGGATGGATTATTACAGAATAGTTACGAACCTACAAATGCGATTTTTATAAACTTACAAATGCGATTTTATAAACGTATAATGCTATTTTATTTACTTACAAATGCTTTTTTATTTATAGTTACAAATAAGAGTTTATACACTTACAAATGCGATTTTATTAACAGAAACAAATGCTATTGTAACTTACAAGTGCGATTTTTATTAACTTACACATGCGATTTTATTAGCTTACAAATGCGATATTATTAACTTATAAATGCGATTTTATTTGCAGTTACAAATGCGTTTTTATTAACTTACACATACGATCTTAGTTAAAATGTGAATTTATCAACTCACAAATGCGGTTTTAATAACCTGAAAAAGGCCAATTACTACAGCAGAAAAAAATATATCACTTACAATTAAATTTGAAATTATAATAAATTCAAGTTACCTGGCACAATCCATATGTTGAAAACAATAAGACGCTCAGAAATTGAAAGACTAACATTTTTACACAGTACTTGTTATACACACAAATGAGAGCGTGTAAAGGTTAAAGAGCAACTTCTGTAAATGTTCTACCAAGTGAGTTTAACCTACATTTTAAAACCTGAAGCAGATCAGCGAACTGTATCATAAACATCTAAATAGTAAATAATGCATTCTGTACACATACCATCGCAGCATAATTAATAATTTTGTTTCATCAAATATGTTTTCACATACATGTATAGGAATCATTGAAAATTGTTGCATTTAACGTGAATAGATCAGTCAAATATATTCTCATTTCTCTTCGGTACAAAATCCGCGAGGCCCATTCTGATTTGTACTTGAAAGTTTTATACATGTAGTTTAAGGTGGACTTTTGGTGAACATTTAAAGTTTAACATTTTAAATGTTATGATAATGAAAGTAATAATGATGAAGATAATATTGACGATATGATTAATACATGTTGTGTTTAATGACACGTTAAATATTCTTTATATAGTTTATATAACATTATTTACAATAAATGTTTTATATTCTCATATAGTTTATATAACATTACTTACGATAACAGGGTAGGTAACTATTTATTTGTTAAGGTATAAGGAGTTTACAGGTTGTCGCCCTTCGATTTGAAAAAAAAAAAAACCCAAAGATTATAAGATATTATACTGCGAATCGGGCGACCGGGTTCGATTTCCGGATGGTGCAGGTCACTTTTGCTGTGACATGAAATACTTTCTACGGTCATTCGCCCTGTACCCTCTGCTCTGGGATATTTCTAGCGAAACTATGGTGTACAATTGTGCCACTTCGTTACCTTAAATTATGATATCTTCACTCTTATGAGACACTTTAAACATTTCAAAATATGATACGAATAGCTATGTGATGTGATGCAACTTGTGTTGTTTGATGCATTTATTCATTTATTTATTTTACTCTGTCATCACGGTTTTCATGTTCAGTAAAGACGTACAGATTACACGTAAAATGTACACTACGAATCGTTAGAGGAGTTTATTTATTTAAAAAAATGTGGGGAATGTTTTTTGTTGGTTGTTGATTTTTTCCAGTATTACAAGAGCGGTACATATTTTTTATACGTAACATTATTTATTTTTGAAAGTTCAAATTTTATACAAGTTGTCATTTTTATAATTTTAAGAGACATGTTCACCTCGTGAAATAGTAATATCAAATGACATCATTTAGATATGAGCTTGATTTCAATCAAATATGCCTGCCATAACTTTATTGCTGTAAGAAAAGTTCCTTATTTCCTTATTTCTAGTGTGAAATAGTTATGCCAATTTTATCTATAACCAACAACTGAATAGGTATTAAATCGTTGGCTGCGTTCCATGAAAGTCGCCATTGCCTTGTTGATTTTGGTCTCATTTCTTAAAACCAGCATGTCCGGTTACAGTTTCTACCGATACCACCAAATTAAAAGGGACAGAATCACGAAGGCAGGTCAATTGATGAATATAACAATAAATTCGAGACATATTAATGTGTGATAACATCGCTCTCGTCTTATATAATCAAATTTTCAAATATAATTTTCAGAAAGTAAATAATTTAATCACATATGTTAGGAATCTCCAAGAACAAGAGTACAGACATATTAACCTTTGCGTTCATATGTTGACCTAGTTTTTGTTAGACTATATTATATTATGCGTTCATTAAATTTGACCTTTTGTATTTTCTATATTTATGGCACTTTTTCCAATTTACTTTTCTGTCCTTTTTTGCCGAATTAAAAGCGAATTTCTGATGAAGTTGCGAAAGGATCGCTCACGGGAAGCGTTGCAGAGAGTTTTGTTCGGTAGTTCTATAAGAATAGCCTTATATTGTTGCTTATGTTATTGAACCATTTTCAGATAGTCTATCATTTCATCACTTTATACGATAACAATACAACAAGAATACAAACAAATTAACATTTGTATCAGTTTCTGTAGACTTTGTTATATTTCATGTTCGTTAACTAAAAAAATATAAATGTTACAAAACAACAATTTTTCACCAAAATTAGGTAAAAGACCACATGTTAACATGGAAAAACTTGACTGTGGGTGATTCCAAAGTTTTTCATCATTTTTTGTTAACCTTTTCCCTTATATAAGCGTGTTTCGACGACTTTTTGCCCCCCCCCTTTTGAGGCCTCAAACAGTGAAAAAATGTCCTATTTAGACCACAAACACTGTTTTTCGTTTGAGAAATGTTGTTAAAAAAGTGACCATTTTTTCGGCGCCGTCCCCAATCCAAATAATACATCAGAGGGTTGCCAGAAGGGGGATGTGCCTCCTTCTGTTTGGGGGGTTTGAAGGGGTGGCAATTTTGAGATGTCCCCTCGTTGCCATGGTAACAGGAAATTTAAGACTGAGCATGTCGTTACAAAGGCAATAGTCCAGTCAACATTTGTGCCAAGTTTGATTAGTATTGAAGCATTTTTCATTGTTTCATAGCAGTTTGAACTTGTAAGAGGAGGTTTTTCAGTGAAAATGGCCATTTTTCACAATATGCTCATGGAGGAAAGGGTTAAAAATGAACTTTATTCTAGATTCAAGACACACCGTTATTTTCCCAAGATTTCTTTCCTTTGCAGTATTGCGACTTGTAACAAATAAAAGACTGGTTTGCGAGCTACAATTTTTTCATGTTAATTACTTTCTTGCATGTGTTCAATATTAAAACTAGTCTTTGTAAACATACATTGTTATAAAATTATTTCAATTGACATAAGCAAGTTTCATTCATTCTGTTCGTCTCCACTCATTTGGCTGGTTATGTCTGGAAAAGGGGCTATCATACTGACATATTAAGAACAACACTAAATTACATGAACTGCAGACTCCCATTGATTGATTCTGTACGTAACGGATAATGAAAAAGGGTGACATCACTCACGCAATCTAGCACCGACTTTAGCGCAACTCAATTTTGAACACATAAAGTGCTGGAATCAATGACCACAAAAGACCAGAAAAAATATTACAACAATAAAGTGAAGTTCGCGGTAACTTTTTACAGCTGTCTGACACCACTTGACACCTGCTGTTGTGAAGTATAGATCGAATCTTGAAAAAAGTATAATCTTAATTATAACAATTATATTAGCTCGTGTCTTTAATGATACATGTAACTCTACCATTACCGGTGTAGTTGAGCTTTCTGTCCGGATAACTTTTGTTGTAAAATATATCATCATTTTATACTTATATCTAGAACCAAAACTATAACGATGTCATAATTGTCATTCATAAAGTACAAAATTAAATTAAAACTACAAGTAGGAAAACAATTTGCTTGGATGAAATATGTCTTTTTAAGAACACTATATTCGTACAAACGGTTAACACAATTTCACAATATAGACGAAAATATTGGTGTTCTCTACTGCAGAGTTGTATTATTACAAGAAATATTCAAAAACCATTATTTAAACAACAGTAAAGTATAATTATTGAAGATGTAAATCCGCGAAAAATGTCATTTCTTTTGTCGCCATATTTTACTGGGATTTCTTAATTATAATGATAATTGCCATAAAACAAGAAACAAATACTGTTATATAGATATATCTGGATTATACGAGCTTATAAATTAAGGTATCGATAATTGTAAAGAAAATTTGATTTAATTTTATCTTAATCTTTTTTTTTTCTTTTTTTTTGGTGCAAAAACTCTTGATCATTTTTTCAGGGCTATTGAACGTATATATCTAAACAATCTACGAAGCGTTGTATCGTGTACTATTAATTACAAATTCATTTCACTAGTCTTGTTGAAGATTATTTGGAATTTATCAGGAAAAGGAGTGCATAAACAGTCTGAAATATATTTGTATAATCACTAGTCGTAAAGTCTAACGATTGGTTAGATAATATAATAGTAAATCAAAGCTCAATTATTTGGTATTAAAACGAATAGATTGAAATATATTTCATGAAGATGTATTGATATTTATAAGTGAGCCTGGTTTATTATATTAAGACACTAAAAAAGGATTATGGAAATGGACTTGAATGAATAACTGACTCCAAATCGATAGGAAATAAATTCAAATCATGACTTAAAACTTAATTATCAAATATGATTCATATATAGGTTTTCAGGAGGAGACATTGCTGTCTTACAATTCTGCTATTCTTTGTATGTTCTAAACATAAGTGCTTTAAAATGTTAATGCAGATTATAAAATTGCTAGATTTGCCTTAATTTACATTTATTTCAATTTAAACATTGGCATACATTTAATTCAATTTAAACATTGGCATACATTTGATTCAATTTAAACATTGGCATTCAGAATTGAGTCGCTGTTGTACTCTAATTTTAATTTTGGAAACTTTCACAATGTTTCTACTGCAGATTAATTTATACCTAAACCGGGAAACCCGGGTTTCCCGCGTTATGACTTTTTTGCAGCGGTCAAAAGATTTTACAACGACTGTCATTCCAAAGGTTGCTTTTCGACGTAAAAAAACTTAGGGTGATAAATAATATGGTAATAAAAAATTTATTAAAGTATATGAAAAAAGATACAATAAATTAAGTGTAAAAGAAACTCGTTTAAATGAATAAATGGAAGCAGTGTTCGGGTATTGTTAGGTTCCTTATCTTGATACTATTTTGAAGATAAACAAATGTCTAAATGTCAAGGTATTCGTATAGACAGGCAAATCATGCTAAGAATGCAATTAAATGACATCTGTGATGCAATGACAAAGTGGATTGCCTTGGCTAAATTTTATTATATATTATAGGCATAAATGTAATGTTCTGTATAATGGAAATGCATCACGTGACACATAAATGAAAATAAAAACACTCACAGCTAGTTATTTTACCATAATTACAGTTCTGATTTGTCTGGTTTTGTGTACAAATGGAACCTTTAGCCTTCACCCAATTAAACAAGAAGTGCATTTTCTGTCCAAAACAGAATTTTAACGTTTTTAGCATACAGAGTTTACGAATTCAGCTCCACAAACACGATTTCATCATCAAAAGTTCACGATTTGAAAAATCTGTAAATAAAAATTTTTATGTATGGAAAGTTATTTATTAGACAGTTATTTTGTGTAACAGGCCAATCCAGCT